CCATCCTGAACAGCCACAAAATGTCACTATGATCAGGAAAACACAGTTGTCATTGTAAGAGGGACTTCAGACTCCTAAAAGGTCCTGTTGGAAGACTCTGGAATTGCAAAGATTATAAAGTGAATTTTAAAAACATACAGCTTTCATTTCATAAACTGAGTTAGATCAAATTTACTGAGCCAAGTCCTAAATTTCTTCTATCTACAGTAACCTATCTAGGCAGTTATAGTGCTTAACTTGAGGAGTTCAGTATAAATTAAGGGAATTTTGCCTGAGTACAGATGGGATTCAGCTCACTGGGATGCAAATGGGAAGGTTATGTCTCATGACACTATGCTGCATATTTGTAGAACCAGTGATAAGTCATCTTGAACGCTGAAGGTTTCTTCCTGCTTAAGAAAGAACCAGCAGCACTGTTGATGGGTTGGAACTCAGGTAATAAACACAGTGTTCATATGATTTGATTTGTGATATGGTCAAGAGTGTCCTTAAAAGCTGCTTATAAAATTAAGTTTTCTTCCACAGTGCATTGGTGGTGGCTGCATATCATGAGGTTGAGTACAAGCATTACAAGGACATCATTTTAGTGATATGACTAAATGACATGAATGTCAATTTTGCCACTAGCAGTATGAGAAAAAAGCCAATGAACATGCCTCATAATAAGAGAACTACACATAAAGACATTTGAATTCTGTAATGTGAAAATAAAGATCACAAGCTGCTGTGTATGCTGAAAAACAAGGAGACATAAAGGTACCTTCTAAAATACAAGATGTAGAAATGTTAATGGTAACACATAGCTAATGCTTCATAAAGAAATAAAATCCTTTTTGGGTTGTCATTTCTCTGGAGCTCAGGATGTCCCCTTTCAGCGTGGAGGCAACATGCACTTACTACTGAGCAGATGTATGACGTATGTGACTTAGCAGTATTATCCAGTTGGATCTAGCAATTGTTTAAACCATTTGGAAACAATAAAAGAGCACAATCGGGAACGGTGCTGTCTTATTTTCAAAAAAAGGCAGATTTTGGGAACATTCTGATGGCTGGCAATGTACCATATGCATCCTAACATCTTCTCTGAACACTCTCCATTTGTCCATATTTTCCTGTAAATAAAATGCTCAGAATTGAACATTGTATTCTGGGTGTTCTACACTGGAGTCATACAGACCTTTCATTTCCTGGGCTGTTATTCTTTTATGTATACAGCCTAAAACTGCATTGGCCTTTGTTGCTCTCATTTGACATTACAAACTATGTCCAACTTGCTGTCACTATCACCAATAAATTTCTCCTACTGAATATCTGCTTATCCAGATGTATTAGTTCAACCATGCAAAAAGTTACTCACTTGCCCGGGGTTAGTAATTTTTTGACAGGCAAGTTATCAACATTAAGATAGGCGAATATACTTTGTTCTTCTGTGTAGTAAATATACAGATTGTCTGCAGCCCTCCAATTCACAATCCTATAATATCTCTGAGGCAACTACATATATGTCTATCTGTCTTTTAATACCATTTAGCAGTTGGAAATAAGGGGGAAGGATCTAGCACCATGTGATCAACCAGCTCTCTGCAGACCACACAAAGTGCTCCACAGAACACAATTTAAGAACCTCTGACCTACAAGGCATGACTTACATACATGCCAGCTGACTTTTATATGTTCAAATTTTCCAAGTGTTCCTTTATGGTTCCCTGTTATTCTTTTTGCTTAGCATTAACACATCCTGGCCTCAAGTAAATAATACTTAAGCACAGTCAGAGTATCAACAGGTAATTTAGTAGCCTCAGCCAAACTCTCAGTGCTTTCTAGTTGCAGCTACCTATAGTAGGAGAATCAAAGTATGTGGGTGAAAGGGCTGCATAGCTACTGTCTCTTAAGCTTCAATCTGTAAATACTTACACATAAGCAACTTTATACAAAAACACATGGTCCCACAGACTCTACCTTGCACAAGCTTAACTTGACGCATATAAGTAATTCCATTGGCTTCAACAGGCATAATGTTAAGTGCATGGATAAGAATTTGCAAGATAAGGGCATAAGTGGTCCCATAATTTCTTTTCTCAGTTCACAAGTGAAAAAATATATATTTTTCTAACTGCCAACCCAGCAACCTCAACCTGATATCTCAGTGGCTTAGTGTTTTCTGAGCAGGGCATCACCATCAGTCAGCCTGACCCAACTGAGGTGTATTATACTGTGATACTTGAAGCATACAAACTTATGTCCTACATTGAGGTAAAGATTCTGCCTCTGAAACTGTCACCAATTGCACTAATCCATGTAGCCAGCTATGGTAGGTAAGGTATAGGTCTGGATAGAGCTCTGCGCGGATACAAAAATGTGGATCTGCATCTGCCAGGATCAACCCGTGATCCGACCCACAATCTGCTAGCCAACTTTTACCTCTATCCGCATCTGCAAGCTGTCTCCAGGGCGGGTGGAGATGAGCGAGCGGGGGGGGGGGGGGGTGTTTCAGGGAAGAGGAAGCATGAGGGCAGGGACTGGGGGTAAGGGCCAGGGTCTCGAGTAGAAGGGGCCGTGAGGAGGGGCAAGCTAAGCTGCTGGATGGCGTGCAGGTGCTGGACAGCCCCGATTCCAATCTGCCACCCAGCCCCAGCCACTGGTTGCTGGCCGCCAGCCCAGAGCGCATTGCACCCCCCCGGGTTGCCCGAGCCGGATGCCACGGGACCGGTGCCGCTAGGGTGAGCAGATGTCCAAATTTTATAGGTACAGTCCTGATATTCGGGGCTTTTTCTTATATAGACACCTATTACCCCACACTCTGTCCTAATTTTTCATACTTGCTAGCTGGTCACCATGATGGCACTAAGTGCTGCCATGAGACATGGCGCCAGAGTTCAGCTGCTGCTGCTCAACATGTACTTGCCAGATATGGGGCCTGCCGCATCGGGGGACAGGAGGGCAGGACAGGGCCCAGGAGGCCCCAGGGCTCGGCTCAGATTCCCCACCCCCCGCATGAGTGGGCCTGCCTGAGAGGATGGGAACGGGCTCCCAAGTCTTCTTACCTGCTCCTGCTTATCCCCTGGCTCGTGGACTTTCATCCCTCCACTCCCTGAGCCGTCAGCCAGGCAGCCCGGCTCCTTGGTCTCTCCTTCATGGTCTCTCCATTCCCTGCCAGGCACTGACTCTCTCCCTTTCCCTCACTCTCCCTTCTCACCACTCCCAGCACAGGCAGCATACTTTTCATCCCTATTTAAAGTGCTCCGGGCTCTGTCGGAAATCAGATTACCTTTTCCTGGACGTATTTCTTGGCTTCATAGCCCCAGCGGGGGGGAGGGGGAGGGAGAGGGAGGGAGAGGGAGGAGTGTTCGCCGCCACTGCCACGAAGGGGGCTCGGGACTGGGCTGCGCTTTATAAGTCGCCCACCAGGCGCTGGGAAGAGGCAAAGTGTCTTCAAAACGGTTTGGGACTTGGCCGGGTGCAGCTCAGCTTGGCTCGGCCCTGTGTGAACGCGTCTCTGTCTCTACTCCAGATCCATAGAGCCCTGTGAGGTTGTATCTGGATCAGCTCCACTATCCGCAAAAATGGTCCGTGGATATGAAGCAGATAGCCGTGTATTTGCAGGGCTCTAATTATTGCATTAAAGTAAAGACAAAAGGTTCAGGTTTTTCTAATTTCCTGGATAGCAGAGGATAGGTTAAAAGCAATTTATTGGAAATTCTTAAACCATTTATCAAATAAGAAGCCTACACTTACTACAGTGACCTTCATGTGGTTTAATTGGACTGTGCTAGGCTTTTAAAAGTAAACCTGGTACTGGATTCAAGGTTTTACTTCTGCATATCTTGATGTTTCTTCATTCATGATTTTTTAAAAAGGTTATGATCGTTCAGTATCACTAAACAGGTAAATTCTGAAGTGGTGGAGGAAAATGTTAAACCTAATCAAAAGAAAATTTAGTGTTTTTTTTTTTTAAGGCAGGGAACCAAAAAATTGTAACAGAAAGTACTGTGCTAGTGTCACAATAATCAAATATACTTAAATAATAGTTTTCTTAAAAAAAAAAAGTGTAGAGTGTAAACCAACAGAATAATACTTCATATACCATTAGCTTGTTGATATGGATACCTAATTGCAAAGTAAAAAAGAAAACACTGATGCACCAATAAATATTTCATTGCTAGTAGTTTGTTATATGTTGAGAAAAGATTATAGTTAAAACATGTGCATGTAAAACAAAATAAGTAACATCAGTTATATTTTTATATAAAAAGGACATTTATAGGATATTTAATATACACTTAAAATTTATATATTGAGATGTTTAGATGTTATCTGAATCTGTTATCCTTTAAAAACTATATCACAATTCTGTAAGAATATTTTATACTATTGCTACAGAAAACCAACTTACATAATCAGGATTTTCCTTCATACTGGCCCCAGTTCAGCTAGGTACTTAGGCATGTGGTTTGTTTTAGGCACATGAGTAATCCCATTGACTTCAAATGAATTCCTAATGTGCTTAAAATTAGGGATATTCTTAAATACCTTGTTGAATTGGGGCCATTATCAGGAGGATTGTCACCACATTTAGTGCCTCCATATAATAATTTGAATGGATTTTCTTTCAATTATATATTACATTTACAAAATATTAAGAATAGTATTTCTATTACTATCATGGTAGCTGGAATGCAAATTGAATCCAGTGATATTTCTACAGCAACGGAAGTACATTGAATAACAGGAACACACATCTTTCCTGGAGATTGCGCAGTTTTTCCTTCACTATTGTTCAAGAAATGAAGATTAGTAATGCCATTTTTAGATTAGTAATGCCATGTAAACATTCAGCACATGATCGACCAGTGTATATACATCAGGGTAGGCTCAATTCTGCAAAACTTGGAGCGAGAGTTTCGCTATGAAGCCCTAATGATACAGGGTTCAATCCAGCAAAGTGTCCTCCACTTCCATTGACTTCACTGAGAGTTAAGGACACTCAGCACCTTCCAAGATTCTGCCCTTATTATTTAAAATATTCTAAATTAAAAAAATCAGCCAAACATTGTTACATATGAGTTTTTCAAGAACTGTACATAATTGTGGATGCTGTGGTTCTGGTTTTCTGATTTTTGTAGATTGTGCTCTAATTCTTTCAAACATACTTCCTGATGTTTCTCTCTCTAAAGAAAAAGAGGGAAGGGGGATGCAAGTTAGAAATAAAATACAAAATAAAAATACAGTAAGACTAGTACTTCAAGTTTATAACTCTATCTGTCATTCCCTAAAATTTTAGTCAACTCCACACAAACACAAGACCTTCAAAATGACCCCAAAATCTTGAACCTATACATTATGTCTCCTGAGCACAAATTGATCTGTTTGAGTAACTTTATACTCTTAAAAAAGGACATGAGTCCTGGGATATCCTTTACAGCAACTGTCGAACATTTCGCATTTCCATCATTAAAGATTTGTGGCACCTTAATTCTAATACAAACTCAAAACTCTCATGCTTACTTTTTTAATGAGAACATCTGTTACTGATCTTTAATGCAGCCTGATTTTTGTTGCCTATGTTACCCTTTAAAATAAAGGGTGAATGATAACACTGTTTACTTATTAGATCCATATATGGTAATTTGTTACATAAAAATAGTAATTTTTTGGATTTTCTTTAATGCCTATCATAACACGATTTCAGATATGAGTTACTTAAAATAAACAACATTTTTCTTAAATTTGTTAGTCATTTATAACATTTAGATTTAATTCTAACATTATATGAAATAATCAGGTTAAAGTGAACTAAAGAAAAAATTACCTTCTTGAGTCCTGCCCTGTTTCCAGCATCACGCTAACAGGAATAAAACAATATGATTTTTGTTTTTCCTCTCCATAATGTATTCCCAATTTTATGGATATGTAACTGGAGAAGGTGAATATGTTTTGTGTTTGTTCAGAATAACACTCCCCTCAGGCATAAGGTCCGGCTGATCGCGGCTCCCACTGGCCGCGGTTCGCTGCTCCAGGCCAATGGGAGCTGCTGGAAGTGGCGGCCAGTACGTCCCTCGGCCCGCGCCGCTTCCAGCAGCTCCCATTGGCCTGAAGCAGCGAACCGCGGCCAGCGGAAGCTGCGATCGGCCGGGCCTGCGGACGCGGCAGGTAAACAAACCGGCCCGGCCCGCCAAAGGCTTTCCCTACACAAGCGGCATCCCAAGTTTGGGAAACACTGTTCTAGAGGAATAAAAATCATAAGCATTCAAACGTATTGCTAAAAGAACAAGGGACAGATGATTCCCTGTCCCGGCATAATAAACAGATTTTACTTACAAAGAAATAACAAAAGTACCACAGAGACAACACAGTCTTGAAAAAAGCCAGTATTCTAAGAGTTTAATATGTGGCCAACTGGGAAATAGCTATACAGTGGAATCCTGATTAATTGGGACCAGGGCCAGAACGCATAATCAAAAATTTGGATAATCGGGAGAATGGGCAAGGCTCCAGCTGTCAGCCCCAGAAGCGGCAGGACTGACAACCCGAGCCCCGCTGCCCTGTTCAGTTAATATGGAGAGCCAGATAATGGAGGCGTGGATAAATGGGGGTCTATTGTATTGTTTTGTATGAATAACATACATGCCTCTATAAGTTGCTTATGATTAAGGCTACGATTTAGTTATGGATATTTTTTAGTAAAAGTAATGGACAGGTCATGGGCCATAAACAAAAATTCACAGCCTATGACCTGTCCATGACCTTTACTATAAATACCCTTGACTAAATCCGAGCTGGGGGGCCCCAGGGTGCCACTACTTTGGGTGCCCCCAGGGAGCTGCTGCTCTAGGGGGTCCCTGGGGCATCACTGCTCTGGGGGGCCCCCGGAGCCAGCCCCACCAACTGCTGCTCAGGCCGTCCGTGGGGCCAGTGGCACCAGCTACTGCTTGGGCAGTCCTCAGTGCCAGCAGCCGTGGGACGCCGAGCAGCAGCTGGTGCGGCTGGCTCCTGGACTGCCAAGCAGCAGCCGGTGTGGCTGACTGCGGGACTGCCCGAGCGGCAGGCTGCAGGGACACTCCAGCAGTGGCCGGTGTGGCTGTCCTGGTGTTGCCTGAACAGCTGGCCCCAGCGTGCTTGGGTGGCCCTGGGGTCAGCCACACTGGCTGCTGCAGAAGTCAGGGAGGTCGTGGAAAGTCACAGAATCTGTGACTTCTGCGACCTCCGTGACAGACATGCAGCCTTAGTTATGATAGATTCTTGTTATGGAGACATGGGTTTATTAAAGAAACAAAGCATGAAAAGTAAAAATAATGATCTAGATAAGTAGCATCTCAAACACTCCAACAACATCATCTGTGAATAGATGACTCCTTGTCCCCAACCCTTGTGACAAAGCTGTTTTGCCAAGACTAAGGGAAAGACCAAAGAGTATACAGGAACTCCTCACTTAACTTTGTAGTTATGTTCCTGAAAAATGCGACTTTAAGTGAAACAATGTTAAGTGAATCCAATTTCCCCATATGAATTAATCTAAATGAGGGGTTAGGTTCCAGGGAAATTTTTTTCACCAGACAAAAGACATATATATATACACATACACACACACACACACACACACACACATGCAGTATAAGTTTTAAACAAACAATTTAATATTGGTACACAGTGATGATGATTGTGAAGCTTGGTTGAAGTGGAGGAGTCAGAGGGTGGGATATTTCCCAGGGAATGCCTTACTGCTAAATGAACTAGCAATTGACTGAGCCCTCAAGGGTTAACTCTCACAACAATCTACAAGGCAGCAGGAAAGGAGAGAAGGCACACACACCCTGTGTGTGTGAGAAAAAATGCGCATTTCCCCTTTAAGTAGCTGACCCCAGGCTTAAGTACACTGCCTTGCTAATTAAATCAGCTTGCTGAGACCTGAGATGGCAGCTACTGCCGAGAAGCTCCCTCCCTCCGTCGTGTCCCCCCCTACTCTATGGAAGATGGGGTAAGCGGCGTGCAGGAGCAGGGGGGAGGGGGAGACACCCTGACATTAGCCCCCTTCTTCCCCTCCTCCCCCTAGCGTGACCAGACGTCCCGATAAAATCGGGACTGTCCCGATATTTAGGTGTTTGTCCCAAAGATCAGTCGGGACGCAATTTGTCCCGATATTTCGCTCCGTCGGCAGCATTCGGGCACTCGGTTTTTTATTTATTTTTTGCTCCGTCGGCAGCACTTGGCTTTTTTTTTTTTTCCCCCCCCCCCCCCGCTCCGAACCCCGCCCCCCCCCCCCCCCCCGTGTGTCCCGATATTTTCTTCCTCTCATCTGGTCACCCTACCTCCCCCTCATACAGCAAGCAGGAGTCTCTGGGAGCAGCTCCAAGGCAGAGGACAGGAGCAGCACATGGCAGTGGGGGAAGAGACAGCTACTGCACAGGGAATTTAGGGAAGTGGGGAGCTGATAGGGGGGCTGCTGGTCCACCCTGGTTCCAACCACCCACCAGCTAGCTGCAACGGGCTGCTCTTCCTGCAAACAGCGGACAAAACAGGCGGCTGCCAAACGACATTAGAAGGGAGAATTTCACAACTTTAAACGAGCATGTTCCCTAATTGATCAGCAACTTAACATTGAAACAACCTTAACCAGGATGCCGTTAGGTGAGGAGTTCCTATCCTAAACTCTTACAGATGCTAGCCTACAAAAAGGGAGGGGTACTGTAATGGGGTTCACACTGCATCCCTCCGGATTCAGCCTCTTGGCCCCTCACCTCCGTGAATCAGGGACACTTCTGTCTGGTGCAACAGCCGTGTTCTTTATTCATGACCAGTTTCCCACCACCAGTTTCCAGCTATATACAGGTTTTACAGCTGCTTGGCCTACCACAGGCCTTGCCGGCAACAGACTAGGAGGCTTCTACTCCCTCTGAGCCTGACCTCCCACTCTTAGTCTCCAGCCCCACACCCCTTTTCTCACTTCCTTCCAGCCTTATAGCTCCTGCTAATGAGGCTGGCAGGTGTGGTCAGTTATCAGGCAAACATAGGGCGGTTCACCTTGACCCAGCCCCAATACATTCTCCCTGATTGGGGCTGGAGCAGCAGGAACTGATTAAGGGCTTCTGTAGCAGCACCCTGCCACAGGTAGAAAAGGGTGTCAGCAGACTGAGGCTGACACCAAGATGGATGCCAAGAGACAGAGATGTTGTGTAGGGTAGGCTGCCTCTCCCTGCCACAGATGGAGTTAGCTGGGCTGATGAGTACTTATACCTTAAACTTTCCTTGGTAGCCTTTGTAAGTAAGATTCATGCATGCAGGTCTTTTATTGTTTCTACCCTGTATTCTAAAGTGCTTTGTACTTTTGAGGAACAAACAAATAATGCTTCATTTGGAAGACACTTTCTGTGTCACTGCAAACTTGCATTGCTACAGACCCCTGAAGGAAACCTCTTATAGGTACCAAAAGCGAGTTGGGCCTGTGTCATTACTATGCTTGGTAAAAAGGGACTGCAGCCCAGAGATCCAGTTTAAGAGTTGTTGGACCGAGTGCTTCTACTGAAGCGAGGCACAGAAAGACAGACCTGTCAGCTAAAGGGTGTATTTGAAAGGAACTAAAAGAAGTCTAAGGCGCAGCTTGCCCTGTAGCCATGACAGGATTAGCAGCTTCCATAGAAAAATCTTAAACTCTCAAGAATCCAGCACCTCAAAGAGCGATCATAAACCAGCGAAGAGTCAACATTACTCCTGGGGGGAATTCTGCGCCACTGTGCGTGCACAGAATTCACGTACCCAACAGATTTCTTTGCTTCCGCACAGAAAAATGCCTTCTCATGGGGAAGCCGCCAGAACAGTCATGCGCTTCTCCCCAGCAGCCCGGGTGTGTCGTTTTGGGTACCCGGAGCAGCTGGCGGAGAGGTAAATCGCTGCTGGGAGGGGGCATTGGGGGATCTACTGGCCATTGGCTCCTACTGGAGCTGGGCTCAGCTGCTAGCCCTGGCTGGGCTGGGCCAGGGGAGGATGGGACTTACTCTTCCCTCCAAGGAGCAGCCATGTCTGGGTCAGACTAGGAACCTCCCCCAGCTGCAGGAAGCTCCACCCTCTGGCTTCCTGCCCCCATCACTCCTCAGCTGTGGGGGGAGAGGTGATCATACGGGGAACTGCTCCCCCATCCACCCAACCCCCATGCATCCAGACCCTCCCATACGCAGATTTCCCTGCCAAGCCCCACCCCTTCTCTACCTGGCTCACCTGCCGAGCCCCTCTTTCCTGCCTCTGGACTCCCACCTCTGCACCCAGATCCCTCCCCCCCTGCTGAGACCCCCGCACTTGAACCCCACCTTGATGAGCCCCACCCCCCAAAACCTGGATCCCTCTGCTCAGCCCCTCACCAAGCTGCCACACCCAGATTACCCCACATCTAACCCTCTGACCCCACATCTGGATCCCCCCCCCACTAAACCCCCTCCAAACTTGGATCCTGCCAGGCTGAGCCTGCTGGCCTCACACATGGATTGGGAGCCAGGGCTGAGCGTGCATGCAAGACTCTGTCCCTCTCTCTTGCTATCTTGGTGTGTATGGTGTGGAGGGGCAGGGCCCTGGGGTGTTTCTGGGGCAGGCCAGGCCCTTACGCTGTGTCAGGATCAGGTGCAGCCTCACTGCTGAGTCTGTGTCCTGGGTGGGGGGGAAGCTGCAGGGTGATCTCCCACCTCCATGCAGCCAGTGGCCTGTGTCTTCCGCTGCCATGCTGGAGCCTCCACATTTATTTATTGAAAAATAAAATATGCAGGTTTTTCAAAATTACAACATAAAATTGGAATCAGAACTCAGGAGTTTCTACTTTGGAGTAACAGTAAAAACTGTTGTGCAACCTAGACGCTCATGAAAACTGTTAAAATACAGTGGTACATATTGCACGCTAGGCTGATGTGGAGGGACACTTGTTATTGACAACCCCACAGGTAAGTTATCTTACTCATTTAAAAACCATATAGACTCCACCCCCCCCCCAAGTTGACCGTTTTAACTGTTGGTACAGTCATACACTGCTAGACTTCTTTATAATAGTTGCCCAGAGAAACATGACAAATTGGAAAGATGTATCAAAAATATTAAAAAAAAAATCAATAATAAAATCAACTGACTACACAAGGTTGAACAACAGGGAGCAGCCAAAAAAGCCAACTTCATTCTCTGTCTCAAACTTGGAAAACTCTAATAGATTTCACAGAAACATCCAAAGTAGAACAAGAAACTAAATTCTCCCTGCAATATTGCTTATCTTGGTCAGTGATGTGCCTTATCATTCTTATTGTATCATTTCTATCCATTGTAAATTGTTTTTATTTTATTATAATTAAAGACACATCAAAACAATTCTGTGATAATGGGGAGACGTAGGCCATCAGTTTTGGGCTTTTTTCCCCGAGCTTCTAGAGGGTTTAAAAAACTTCCTGTGAATCTTAAACCAGAGTTCATGCTAGAAGGAGAAAAAGGCCAGTTCAGAATGTAAGAAGGATCGCTGGCTCTAGGTGACCCGGTGTAGCCAGAGTTCCTTTTGACCATATGCCACCTTCAATTTAGCTGGAATTCAGCTCTTCTCCCCCACCCCACCCCCAAAAAAGTCTGAGGATTTATGTAATATTCATCCATCTCATGAAGGATGAGAGAAAAACGAAATTTTGTGTTTTTTTTAAATTAAAGGGGGAAATGTTTGTTACCTTTGTGGTGTTTATGTGGCTGTTGGCTGAAAATACCATTTTACAGCACTGCAGGGCCAGAATCAGGCCCCCGGTCTCTGAAACTTTATGTATCTCTTTGAGTACTGTTGTCTCTAGCCTGACGCCATGAAATCAAGGGCCAACATTTTTTATTTGGATACCTAAAGTTAAGCACCCGGGATGCAATTTTCGAAGAGTAGAGGATTTAGACATGCCTTCCATTAACAATAATGGAAAATGTGTTGAAATCCCCAAGATTGCTTTGAAAATCTCCACCTAAATTATATTTTGGCACTAATATAGGTAGCTAGTCTGATTTTCAAAAGGTGCCAAGTCCACAATATCTTCTTGAAATGGGACCCTGCTGATAGGGTAAGTACCAATGTGCCACACCTAGGATTTGCAAGTTCTTGAAACCTTTGAAAATCAGGACACTTATTTAGATTCCTGTATAAGGCTATGGGTGCCTAACTTTAAGCACTCATGTTTGAAAATATTCGCATAGATTCCTGGTAAGATCAGATCCTTTTACCAGCTCAGAAATCCATTTATCCACTTCACTAAGTAGGTCTGGACCTGCTAACAATTTGTGTCTGGGTCAGGGCCGGCTCCAGGCACCAGCTTACCAAGCAGGTGCTTGGGGCGGCCACTTCGGAGAGGGGCGGCACGTCCAGCTGTTTGGCGGCAATTCGGTGGACGGTCCCTCACTCCTGCTCGGAGCGAAGGACCTCCTGCTGAATTGCCGCCGCAGATCGCGATTGCAGCTTTTTTGTTTGTTTGGCTGCTTGGGGCGGCCAAACCCTGGAGCCGGCCTGGTCTGGGTGAGCCTTTAGAATAAGGAGCAGCCCCAAAGGAGGTTACTAAAGGGTCTTAGCAGAGTAGACAATCCTGCACTAATGTAGGAAGATGGATTAGCTATCCTGGAGATCTTTTCCTAACCTGTCATCTATAATACTGTGCACAAAATATGCAGTCTTTCTGATAGTTTTATGCTTAACTGAATTATGTGAACTGACTCTGTGCCCCAAATTATGTACAAATTCATTTAGAAATATATTCATCCATTTAAAACACTTTAGTGTATGTAGTGATTAAATTAACTAAGCAGTTTATGATCAGTGTCAGTAAAGTGATAGATTCTTACATTGTTTAATTTGCAGACAAGTCGCTTTTGCTCCTCTCGTCTCTCTCTCAATTCGGTTTCCAGAGTCAATATTTTTGTCTGAAGAGCTCTCTCCTTGGATGACATTTTTTCCACCTCTTCAGACTCCTGTGATGGTAATGAAGGAAGAAAAAGCTATTTAATTACATATAGACCTGCATTTGAAGCCCAAAACAACAAATAATTATTTTAAACTATTTTATGCTACACTTGATCGTCTCTTCCATATTTGCTGATTATAATCCTCCCTCTATTCCCCATCAATTATCTTGAGCACACATGGAATACATTCTGATTTAAAATGAAATAAGCTGTCTCATAGGAAAATACTATAGGAATGATTAATGGGGGGGAAAAAGTCTGACTCATCTGTGAATCTGTCCTGAATTGAGACTTATTCAGAATCCATCAGTATTACTAGAATATGAGAACAATCCTACAACTGTACATTCTACTTCACTTATAGTTAATTTAATGGGAACATTATCACTTCAGCTATATATTTTTCTGATTGTACTGCAATAGTTACTTGTGACGTAAATTCCTACAATTCTTCGCCTATTTGTTTTATTGCTTGAAATATTTTCTGTTCATGACCACACAAAACCTTGTACATTTTGAGTGTGGAAAGCCCTCTTCTGATATTAGAAAGGCTCAATATCAAAGTCCTAGTGGGCTGCCCATTCAAAAGGGAAATGAAAAAAGACAAGCTGAAGCTTTTGATCAGAAACTCTGTCACTTCTGCACATTTAAATATTGGGTGGTTGATGCTCTTCATGTTGTTTGAAGGAAAGAATTCCTTTGTATAAAGATGAAGGACAAAATCCCGGCCCCATTGAAGTCAATGGGAGTTTTGCCATCAGCTTCAATAGGGCTAGGAAATCCAAAGTTCTTTGTATTTATTCAGGCAAAACTCCCATTGACCTATTTTTCCACATTGCCTACTATTATGGAATGATCTACCTTTCTTGATTTGTCTGGCCATTACACCTCCTCAAGCCCTTTGTTCTTTTCCAGAGTTTTCTTTATTTGAAAATGGGAAAAACTGCAATCAAATTCAGAAACATATTACACCATATATACCTTTTTTCTGCCTTCTTCCAAAGCAGCCTCCAACTGTCTGGCTAAAGCATCATATTCTGCTAATTTCTCTTTAAGCTGCAATTCACTGTGCTGAAGACTCTCCTCTTGGTTTGCCAGCTGATGTGCAAGTTCTTCATTTTGTACTTCCATCTTTTCTAACTGTCTTTATGCAAAACAGATACACACATGAAATTTGATTATGAGGAGAAAAATGTAAAAGTGAGTACTAGTCAGATATCACATTTACCTTTTAAGATATTTATATTTCTTCTGAATGTTATAGTTTTCCTCTTCCAAAGAATGGTTTCTCAAGAACCTGTTGTTGTCATCCATCTGTGAAAATGATGTTTCCATTCTATTTAATGGAGATTTGCACAGGGCATTATAAGCCAAATCAAGCTTGCCTTATTCAAGCTATCCTATTAAAATCAGTGCGCCTACTTCATCACCATGGCAAGCAGTATTTGGCCTATATTTGAAGCAAATAAAATACAACTATAGTAGCAGACTATATTGTAAGCTAAAGACTTGTTAAGGCATGAACTTAGGGCTGGCTTACCCCTGCAACCTAATGCATTTAGTTGGACAGGTTTAAATTTGTGGAAAATCTGGCTCATAAAGCTTTTTTTCCTCCATTTTAAAATTATTTTGTCCTCGCAGTATATAAAAAGTGCTTGGAAGCTTGATAATGATATTTGTTTCCTTACCATTTTCCTACATGTACAATTGTTGTTATGCAGGAGCAGCTTAGGAGTGCTGTCTGATGGATTTCATTAAAGCACCAAAGCATTTATTTTGAAAAGAGCAATAAACTTTGCAAAGATATATACTAGACTTTAACTATATATATTAGACTATAGCTAGATATAATAGAAGAAAAATACTGATTATTTGAATTTAAATGTCTTGTCGACAAATTAGTGATCAGATTCTGATCTCAGGTACACAGTGAAAACCTTGAGAAACATCACTGACATTAGAGTTCCTCTGTATTTAGGCATCAATTCAGGACAGTCTCCCTCTTCAAGAAAGCACGCAAGCATTAGATTAACTTTAAGTACATACTTATTCTCAATGAAATTAATGGAACTTACTTAAAATTAAACACGTGATTAAGTGCTTTCCTGAATTGAGGCCTTGGACAGGTTTAAGTGAGAGCAGAATCTGGTCCTATAGCTATAAAGATGACCTTTCCAAGAAATTTAACATAAAATCCAGAGCTTGTATTTTTATACGGATCATAAAAATAGCACATGGGACCTCTTTCTGTTTCTAATGACGTCATTGGAAGTTTTGCCACTGACTACCTGTCAATAAGTTTTAGAAGACTCTTTCTGGTTTTCCCCATTAATTCAAACACTTCCCAGAGCTCTGCTGTCACAGATTATTCTGGTCCACAAAAAAGATATATGGTCTGTCACATAAACTTCAGTTTAAAATAAAAAACTGTAAGTTGTTTTTCTCTCAGTGTTCAGAATCAAAATCTTTGAAAAATGAAATGTATATAAAAACAGGAGGAAAAACACATTCAGGCCCTTAAGAGGTACTACAAACAGTGATTAAAAAACTCTAAAAATTACTTGAAATTATCTTTTTTAGAAGTCTGAAGTGTCCTTTTTAGTATATTTATATGTAAAATACAATGTAACTTGTAAAATAGAAAGGATATAATTTACTGCTTTGAAAGTTTGATTTGTAGCCATTTCCCTGAACAAGTATTGCCCAGCTTATAAATTAGGCATTACAATATCATTTTTTAAAAAAATGCAATATTTCCATTACATGAAAAAAATCCAGAGATTGAAATTACTCTATTAGATATAACTGTGTCCTTTAGAACTGTACAGTACATTAACAAAGAAAACTTTCTGGGATTCAGCTGGGGATTCACATTTAACATATCTAATTATTCAAAAGGGAAGAGGTCTTTCTTATTAGAAAGCTCTAAAATCTAAACGCAAAAATAAATAAGAATTTTCAGTTAGGTACTGAAGCTGCAATTTCATCTCTCTAAACGTACAAAAAAATGCAGGCAGAACATATCACAAAGAGCATCACAATCGCTGCAGAAGGAACTTTTGTTCTATTAAGCAAGTATGTGGATGAGAGAACATTGACATGGGTTCCCTCAGATTGCAAAACTACTCCCAAGACTTTCTTCCACATAGTTTAGATACTTTACTATTAAATGGTTATGCTCTAAGCACCTGAACCTGTAGCTCCCTAATGGTTTTGGATTTGTCTGCATAACTCCTTTTATAGGACAACAGATTTTCCTGATACTCCTGCAGCCTCTCTTCAGCTACTTTCAGTAAGTCACGAACATGTTCTAACTCCTTCAGTTGAGCCTGTATCTGGCTCCTCACCTGCACGGTAGCATTAAGGGAAAACAGGTAGGTACAAAACCATAAATTAATTGTTAAAAAATTTCAAAAGCTTTCCATATGGTAACATACATAATACATCTAAAATTCTACACACATTTTTGCATAATGTTATTCCTCCAATGAAAAATAGAATGAACATTATGGCACAAACTCATCCCCCCAGCCCTATATTTTAGTTAGGGCTCAGTGAAACTGGAAATGTAATGAAATGTTTATGAAAAGTAATGTGAACATTTTCAACAAGTTATTGTATGTGTACTGCACTCCTAAAATGCTGATTTATTGGGACATTGTGTAACAGAATATTTTTCACAGTGAGGCATGTGAAAGCTCTAAAAGCTTTTTAGATGAGACATTCTGAACATGAGGATTATAGTGTAATTTTGGAAGGCAGTGGCAAGTGCCCTCCTCAGCCCCAACAGCTACATACAACACTTTTCAAACCTTGTTTAGTTATGAGATGGGCAAATACCATATCCCCATTTTACAGATGAAGGTTGGAACAGTATGTGACTTGCTGAAGGTCACACAGTGGGTTCGTTTCAGCACCAGAATAAAAACCTAGGACTTCTCACTGTGAGGCTCAGGCCTAATCTTTAAAACCATGGTGCCCTATAGGCGAACCAACACCTGTCTGTGTCTCAGTTTAAAAAAAAAAAAAAAAAAAAAAGGGCAACAATATTTACCATAAGGGAAATCCACAAACATATAGCAATTAAGTTATATGCAGTCACAGTTAATCAGGTAAAGGATTATCCCAATTTTACTAATTCAGAAACTGAAGCACATGCTTCATGCTCTACCAAGCATGGCTAACAATGAACCAGGGAAGAGTCACGGGGAGCCAGGAAGCAGAGTGAAGAAGCATTGCCTCTGTATAGATACCAGAGAGCTATGTAGAATCATAGGACTGGAAAGGACCTTGAGAGGTCATCTAGTCCAGTCCCCTGCACAACCATAGTATTTGCATAGTTGGGAATGTTGCTCCCCACAAAAGGAAGAATTTGTAGGATGCTTAGCAAAGCAAACCGTACAGTAATTTCCTTCTTCCCTGTCCAGCTTCCACAGCTTTTCTTGAGGGTGGGGGTAAACTAGGCCACTGATTGGTATTTAAAAAGCAAACAAACAAATCAGTCAATCTGAACATTCTATGGTGGGTTCACAAATTGTTATAGTGTGAACCACACCTTAATTGAGAGTATCTTATGGACCACCTCCTACCTAGTCACTGTCCTGGGAATGACTGCCGCTTCTGCTCTGCAATTCTCACTCTGTGGTGATTACAGCAATTGCTTACAGGGAAAAGTAATGTTAGTGAAGTATTTAATGTATTTTTGGCATTGTTTTATGCAATTTAGTACCTGGAAAACAAGAAAGCCACCACCTTACAACCACCAGCAAGTGGTTCCCAGGCCAATCTGAGGTTCACTGTTCTACAAAATACCATGAAACCATGTTATACTGTTTGTTAAAATGGACTACTTACCTCACTTATCTCTAAATCTTTGGCTTCTGTTATTATTTTGTTTTCATTTAACACTTTTTTGTATCTGGCTTTCAGTTCTTCTGCTTCTGTTTGTAATTTTTGTACCTAGGATACAATATATTTTACATATATTTGCAAATGCTACTCCATCATTCCTTAAAGCTGGAAGCATTTATGTCAAGCAACAGCCTTTCATTTCCCCAAATGGTACTTTGTCATTGCCTATACTTACTTATTCATTTTCTCTATCCTCATAATTGCCTTCACAACTGAGTAGGCTGCAGAAACACTGAATACCACCCAAGCTGCTGAGCAACTGGAGACTGCTCCCTATTCCAAGCCATGTATTGTACTCGTATTTTGACTTTGTTGCCCCCAAACTTATATCTTTGCAGCGGCATAAACTGTGACTTGGCACTATTTGACTATTATCTGACTCATTTACTCGAACCCCCTTGCATCACTCCCTAATCGCAACAACTGCAGTTTTCCTTCCTTGCCGTGCGACACCGGGTCAACCTGATGAAGTCAGCCAAATGTGTAAACGGCAAATGTAGTCTTCTGGGACTCAAACAAGACCAAATTACTTTTCAGATGAGGTTCCTATGTATTAATTCAACATTGTAGTTATTTTTTTCAGAGGCAAACTTTTCTGTCCTGCAATTAAAACTCATCTAACAAAGCTCAAATAGCATTAACATATTCATGTTAAGACACTTAGGCTAGGTCTACACTGGGGGCAGGGGGGTCGACCTAAGATACGCAACTTCAGCTACGCGAATAGCGTAGCTGAAGTCGGCGTATGTTAGGTCGATTTACCTGGCCGTGAGGACGGCGGCGAGTCGACCGCTGCCGCTCCCCCATAGACTCCGCTTCCGCCTCTCGCTGCGGTGGAGTTCCGGAGTTGACGGCAGAGAGATCGGGGATCAATTTTATCGTGTCTACACTAGACACAATAAATTGATCCCCGATAGATCGATCACTACCCGCCGATCCGGCGGGTAGTGTAGACGTACCCACAGACTTTAATCAAAAGCCTCTGTGCTTATCATGAAAAAAAACCCACAATCTTTGAAACAATTCACTTGAATTTACACAGCACTTGAGGCTCACTGCACTTTAAAGTTACTTTATTTCATACAGTAAATAAAAGGAAACAAGTGGTTAATTAATATGATTTGTGAGCACCTATATCTTCCATTTCAAAGGCTTTGTTACGGCCAAAGGCCATATGCAAAAAGTTATAAAGACATAAATATGAATATATCTAGCCATTTCAAGAGATCATACTTCCATGTCTCCAAATTTCAAAAATTCTCATCACTTTAAGATACATGGAGTCAAATTCATCCTTGGTGTAATGAATGTTGCCAGTTATTCATTAAGGGCCTGATGCAACTCCCATTGGCGTCACTGGACAGGCTCCTATTGATTTCAGTGGGAGTTGGACTGATTCTAAAGGGCCAAGGCCAACATTTTCAAAATTGTGTGCATAAATTTAGGCTCCTAAACACATTTTTTGGCACCTAAATGTCTGGTGTGGCTTTCTAAGGTGAAGAGGACCCAGAAGCTCCTGCTGAAGTCAATGGACCACCACCTTTAAAATGACCAAATTGTACCCCCTTTTAGTTAGATAGCAGTAACTGAATTTTTATTTCTCATGGGGATAAAAATATTCAACATTAATTTACCATAATTTAGATTTGGTGCGATGAGATCTTATTGCAGACTGGAAAATTCTGTCTGTGAAAAAAGTGCTGTACTGTTTAAAATGTTTGTAATAGATTTAACAGAGAGAAATACTACTTCAGTTCAAAAGAGCTTTTACACTGCAGAATACTTAAAGGTAAACCCATTCTTCTTACATGTGTTTCACAGGTTTTCCATGCCTCCAACTTCTGTTACTTATCAAAAATATATGTGCTTTAACAAGGAATTTCCCCCTTTGTATTCCAATCTCTCCTCTATCTTTGTACTGAAATCAAAATTACATCAATCATTTCCACTGTAACAAATTCCTATGATAAAGAGCAAAATTATGGCTTCACTGCAACAGCAAGTAAGTGGAGAAGCTGGGCTGAGAGGGAGAAAGTTCTTTTTTTGAAACAAACGTAATCAAGAGAAGCAGTGAGGAAACTAAGTTCCTGGCATCAGGAAATGATATTTGTATTGTTTTCTTTTTTCAAATTTGCTGCAGTGTGACAGACCCCGCTTCACAGCAAATATTTTGAAAGGACAACTCTGAATATAAAATGCCAAATTAACTGGTAATATAATGGCTCATTATCCACCATGGAGAACGAGCTGCAGCTGTTGTGTGGGGGCAGTTGATTGTCCAATCCCCTCCCTCTCAAAACAGTGGGTGTCAGCTAATGGCAGCCTATTTCTGAAGGTAGCCCAGCCATTAGTTTGGACCCTAATAACTACTTAAGGCTGGATGTGAGGAACTACCTCTTGTCTCTTACAGCAGGCTAAAAGTTTTATTGTAGCTCTTTGCTCCATAGGCTAGGCCCGTTGGCAGGGTTTAGAGTTTGTAATAAAACTGTTGCCTGGTCAGTAATTTCAAAATACGATGAGTCAGGGATGTCAATCAAGTGTGTCCTTACACTATCGCTGAATTCTATACAACATCTGATTCATCACGCTAAAATGTCCTCTCTGTAAACAAAGGCACACACTACAAAGGAATTGCTAAGGAACTTAAAACAGATTTGTAAAATATGGGCTTTACTGGTATTTCCCTAGCACTGAGACAAAATATCCATATGCCATATAAACAGACTGCCAAAACATTACTCTAGTGCTACCTCACTAGTCCCTGGACTGTTACCAGATGTCCTGGTCTGTGGGGATCTTTTTTCAGACAATGAGCTTTGAGAGGTTGTTTGGAGGCCAGAAGAGGGAGTTCAGGAAAGATTTATTTCAGGATGGGGTCCTCATCAAGTAAGGGTTGTAGTAGTTTGATGATACTATGTATGGGTTCCAGTGTGGGGTGGTTGGTGACAACTAAGGGTGTGCAATTGGAATGGGTTTTATTTCTGTACTGAAGCAGGTTCTCTCCAGGTATTTGGGTGGTCCATTCCATGATGCGATCTACTTCTCAGATGAAGTGTCCTTGTTTGGTGAAGGTGGTTTTGAGTGTTTTACGGTATGTATCCTGGACTTTCTCCTTGGAGCATATTCTGTGGTATCTGAGTGCCTGGCTTTAAATAAGAGATTTCTTGGTGTGTTTGGGGTGATTAATGGATCTATGAAGGAAAGTGTAGTGATCCGTGGGTTTCTTGTATATAATTGTCTCTAGGGTTCCATTGTTGAAGCTGATCATTGTGTCCAGGAAGTTGATGCTAGCATCAGAGTGTTCCAGAGAGAGTTTAATGGGTGGGTGGTGCTTGTTGAAGTCATGGTGGAAATCTATGAGGGAACTTAAGTCATCTGAAATATCATTGATGTATCTCAGGTATATCATTGGTTTCATGGTGCATTTGTCCAAAAAAATTTCTTCAAGGTATTATCTGTTATCTATAGCCAGGTACTCAGATACCATTGACTATGCTCCAAGGAGAAAGTCCGGGATACACACGTTAAATCACTCAAAACCACCTTCATTAAACAAGTACACTCCACCAGAGAAGTAGATCACATCATGGAACAGGCCACCCAAATACCCTGAGAGAACCTGCTTCAATGCAGAAATACACCCCCCTCTGACAGCACACCCCTACTTGTCACCTACCACCCCATACTGGAACCCATAAAGGGTATCATCAAACAACTATAATCCATACTCGAGGGGGACCCTACACATGCTTATCACAACATGTGGTGTACCTCATCCAGTACACTAAATGCCCCAGTAACAACTGTGTGGGTGAAACCAGACGATCACTACAGTCTCGAATGAACTCACACAGGAAAATGATAAAAGACAAAAACACCATATCACCTCTGAGTGAACACTATATCTGACCTATCAGTCCTCATCCTCAAAGGAAACCTGCACAACAACACTTTCAAAAGGAGAGCCTAGGAACTTAGTCATAACTTTGCTAGACACTATAGCCTTGTCTTCACTACAAAGTTTTGTCAGCAAAAGCTGCATTTTGCCGACAAAACAGGGGAGGTGTACACACTACAGAGCTACTTTTGGCAGCAAAACACTGCTGTTTTGCCAACAAAATAAAACCACCTCGACGAGAGGCATAAAGCTTTTTGCAGCAAAGTTAAAGCGACAAAGCGTCAGGTCAGTGTAGACGCTGCTGTTTGTTTTGTCAACATAGTTGGCTTCCAACAGTATCCTACAATGCATGCAGTGACCACTCTGCTCACTGTTTTGATCTCTTCTGCCCCTTTCAAAGCTCCAGGACAGCTGAACATGCTGCTCTGCTCTGCTCTGGGAACAAAGAGCAAATCATTAACTTGGAATGCTCCTGTTCTGCCCTGCACTAGGAACACAGCAGCAGGCAGACTGCTGCTGCAGGGAGTGGAGTGGTGGGTGGGTGGGTGGGTGGGGACTGCTGTGCTGCTTTGACATTCCTTAGCATGGAGAGCTCAGAGCTGCTCAGGATGCCACCCCCGGCAGCTGAGGAGGCTGTGGGAGAACTCGGAGGGAATCACAGAACCATAGGCAGGCAGGCAGAGCGGGCTGCTTCGGGAGAGACTGCTGTGCCGAGCAGGGCCAGGGGCGGACATGGAGGGGCATGTCCCCCTCCCCTGCCTCAGGATAGGTCGGTTGGCCTGCTGTCTCCCCCGCCCTGGACACACCACTCTCCTGTCTCTCCCCCCACCACTTCAGTTGAAAAGCATCTGATAATCTGCTAGGATGCCCATGGAAAGATGGGATTGAGAAACCTGCATCATGTGACACTGTACCTGCCCCATGAGGCATTGCAAACCCTTTCAAAAGCATCCTGCGGCCAGTTGCACATTGGGATAGCTACCACAGTGGCCTCCTCTCTGTATCATGCAACTGCTGATAGTGTGGATGCACTCTGTCAACACAAGAAGCATAGTGTGGACATGCAACAGTGGTTTTAATTAAAGCAGCTTAACTCAGTGGCTTGAGCATTGGCCTGCTAAACCCAGGGCTATGAGTTCAATCCTTGAGGGAGCCACTTAGGGATTTGGGGCAAAATCAGTACTTGGTCCTGCTAGTGAAGGCAGGGGGCTGGACTCAATGACTTTTCAGGGTCCCTTCCAGTTCTGAGATAGGTATATCTCCATTTTTTTTTATTATTATTTTATAACTTTTGCTGACAAAACTTTGTAGTGTAGAAAAGGCCTAAGAATTATGATCTTAGTAAAGACAACAATCTGTAACCCACTAAACCCCCCTCCCCCGCTTTTTGTACTATGACTACAGGGATGCTAATAGGGCACTTCACCTTCAATGGTCCCTTAGAATATGTGCTAACTACTTATGCTAAACTGTTCAACCTCATATTTAGCTGTGACACTCTGAGGGCATGGCTACACTTGCAGATGTAGAGCACTGTGAGTTAAACCCGCCTTCGGAGAGCGCAGTAGGGAAAGCGCTGCAGTCTGTCCACACTGACAACTGCTTGCGCACTGGCGTGGCCTCATTTGCGGCACTTGCAGCGGCATTGGGAGCGGTGCATTATGGGCAGCTATCCTGGCATGCAAGTGACTGCAACGTGCTTTTCAAATGGGGGGGGAGGGGGGAGATGGTGTGGTGTGTGACAGGGAGTGTGTTGTGTGTATGTGGGGGGAGAGAGAGTGGGTTTTTGGGGCGCTGAGAGCATGTTAGCATGCTGTCTTGTACGTTCAGACAGCAGCAGGCCTCCCCTCCCCCCCGCCTCTCTCTCTCACGCACAGCATTCCATACTTATCTGTCTCGGAGCAGATAAGTAGAAGTCTGTCAGAAACGGAGCTTTCAAACAGCATATCCGAATTCCTACAGCGAGTTCAAAACAATGACAAGAGTGGCCACTTGACTTAAGGGGATTACGGGACGTTTCCGGAGGCTGATCAGAGCGCAGTAATGCAACACCTCATCCACACTGGCACCACGGCGCTCCAGCGGGGGCGCAGCAAACGTATTCCACTCGCCGAGGTGGAGTACCAGCAGCGCTGTAGCCGCGGAGTCAGAGCGCTCTACGTGCCTTGCCAGTGTGGACAGGTAGTGAGCTAGTGCACCCGGTGCTCCTTTATTGCGCTGTAACTCGCAAGTGTAGCCAAGCCCTCAATACCTTTCCCAGACCTGAGGAAGACCTCTATGTAGCTCAGAAACTTGTCTCTTTCACCAACCGAAGATATTACCTCATCCGCCTTGTCTCTCAAATAAGAGCTTCATCATTATCTCAAAACTGCATATAGACATAAAACTGATACTTAAGCCTTCCAGGTCCATTAGTCACCTGAATTTTATACTGTTCAGCAAGGTTTTCCTGCTGCTTTACTTTTTCTTGCAGGTTTAAAAGTTCAGCTTCAGCCGAAACAGTGTTGTCTTCCAAAGCAGCAAGTAAAGCCTAGATTAAAATACACAGAAAATTAAATATTTTATTCTTGTTATAGGCAATACACTTTTTTTCTGATAGTGGAGAATTAAGAAATCAAAGCACCATCAGCACTATTATATGACTAGCAATTAAACTACTGGTATTTAACTGTACATGATTACATTTTGTTATTTTGCATGGTAAGTAACTGTGACAAACTCATTTAAATCTGTCAACTTCCATTCATATTTGATCCAGAGTAGAAATACTATACAAAAGATGTAAATCCTGTCATTTTAAAGACAGACTGAGTGTGAGTTAATCTAACTCTAGGGCAAACCAAGATTCAATCAGCTTGATTCTCTGGCTGGCTAAAATGCAGGCAAAATAAAAGAGGCATTTGACAGTCTTGGTTTTAAAAAAGAAAATTTTGGAATTATTTTCCAAGTTGGAAGGGCTGTTGAATGTTAAAGACTATAGGGGATAATAGTCACTATACAGAGAACAGAGACTATTACACTTCCCCCAGATAGTGGAATATATTGATCAAACAATATATTGTTGAATTGCCTATGTAACCTTGACTGGCATGTCTGCTATGATGATGAATTCTGGAACATCTTTATAGTCTGTGACCACTTTCAACATTAAAGTACAGGGATCTGAAAGGATAGCAGTGAGGTACTTGAAATCAGAGAATGTGATTCTCAATATATGTCTACACTTCAAGCTAAAAGTGTGATTCCCAACTTGAGGAGAAATACTCGCACTAGTTCTGATCAAGCTACCATGCTAAAAACAGAATGTAGCTGTGGCAGCACAAGCAGTGGGACGGGCTAGCAGCCCTGAGTATATGCCTGGGGTCTTGGATGGGAACGTACTTGTGGCAGCTAGGCCCTCCGCTGCTCATGGCTACAGGCTAGTTTTATCATGGTCGCTTGATCAGAGCTAGCACGAGTATTTCTTCTTGAGCTGGGAATTACACACCCAAGCTCCAATTCCAAGTGTAGGCATACTGTGAAAGGCTAGAAGGACAAAAGGAAAAAGTACTTTCTAGACATGTTTAGGTTTTTTTAAACTTTTATTATAACTAAACGTAGACCAGATATTATGTATACTATTTATTTTATTCTGAGCTGATCTTCTCTCTCCACTCTTAATAAATCTTGTTTTTAATTGGATCTCTCGAGACTTACTGTTTGGGAATTTCACACAGAAAGTCAGATGCCATTTGAACTATGTTTGCAGCAATAAAATTACTTGAATGGTACAGAAGCTTTCTTATTACAAACTGTATTATTTGCAGTATTTGTAGATCAGATGACATATGAACTAGACATCTTTTGATGTAATTAACAATTAAATAATTATTGTGAATATAATCTTTGGAGGAGTGGGATGAAAGGTGGCCACCCACAAGCCCAAGTGATTGGTTTTTCAGTGTGTAAAGCTTTGGTTTGGAGGAAAAGACCACAATGGAGATATCCAGGATCAAGAATATGAACCACAGAAAAAGAGTAGTAGGATAGGTAGGAGCAAAACCAGCAAAGGGAAGTCCTAGAGACTTTATCCAATTGTGCCAAGCAAGTTTGAAACCTCCCTAACTTAATTTGAAACTAGCTATTAAAAGTGAACTCAGTTCCCATGTTTGGAACATTAGTAAAATTTTGTTTCAAGTTAAAAGGGTAACTGTTAGTTAAGTAATCATATAGATAATGATAATGAAAAGGACAGAAGGTAGTGTGGTTAAGGTACAGGACTGGGAGATCAAAGACCTATTCCTAGCTCTGCCACAGATTTCCTGTGTTAACCTATCAATGTCTCATTTTCACCAACTTCAAAATGGGGATGATAATACCTACTTCACAGGGGTCTTGTGATGTTTAGTTCATTAATACCTATAAAGCTCTTTGGGGTCCTTGGATGGAAGGTACTGTATAAGTGTACAGTTTATTAAAGGAGGCCTCGAGATATTAAAAACGTATAGTAATAACAAAATTTGAATTAAATCTAGGTACTCTTTATTTTAAAATACATCAGGTATCCATGGTTATTCTCATACTGAACAATGAAATGATATAACAATCTACCTTTAATTTTGCATTTTCAAGACGAATATTTGCACTTTCTGAATTGATAGAATTAAGCTTCCCATGGATTTCTTCATTTGAATTTCTTCCACGATCTTGTATTTTTTTCATGTCCTCCAAAAGGTTTGTGATCTGTCTTTATTAAATAAATCAAGAACTTTTGCAGCAACTAGCATGTTGTACTTTTTAAAATTTAATTTGCATATTATGTTCCTCTAGCAGCTATTGAAAAGTTTGTGGGTTTTTTTTGGTTTTGTTTTTATTAAAGTAACTCCATATATTTACACACCCCAAATGAGCAACAACTGGAGAAGTTGGAAGTTCTTCAGCTTTTCCAATAAATGACGTAATAAGATTAAAGGATGTGAAATGGGGTTAGAACAATTGTAAATAAGCTGATTAGATGGAATGCACAGGCACTCTTCCAACGCAAATATCAGATTATATATATTTACAGTCCAAGACATTATGATGCAGAATTTAAAAAGGGACTGCCAAATAAAAAGCTATCTTAAAACATTTTCTTACGTAGGTTAGGAATACCACCTTCAACTATTAAAAGTAAACCGATTCTACTTTACTTTTCACCATTTATACCAATTTACTTTTTGTACTAGTCAAATTAGATAATGAAAATTGTCTAATCAGATTCACTTCTGTTCACAGACAGTTTAGCTTTCTGGTGCTCATTCACTGGCATAGTGCCATAGTTTTTGCTGCAATGTTTAATTCTAAGCAAAGAAACTTTTTCTTTGAAATTAAAAAAAAATGAGAACGCTTTCCATGAAAATTTGGTTTTCTGAAACTCAAAAAACCAAAACCCGTAAACTTAATTTTGGCCCTTATAAACATGTGAACGTTCTTCTTTAAACAGCTATTTGACAAAACAAACATTCTGCATGAAACCCAACAAAAAAGTATAGGCAGCAGCCTTTAGTCTTATTTTATGTATTTATGACAAACCTATTGGAAATACAAACTGTAGTTCAAACCATAAAAATGTGTAAGGATACTTCTTACCATATGCCAAGGAAAAAGGCATTTTTAGTTATTCAACCTTTTTCTATTATATATTTTAAGATTTTAGGGAGTTCTGTTTTGTCTGTGATTACAGACAAATGGCATACATGCATGCATTCGGGAGCAAATCCTACCCCCCATCTCCATGTATGGAAGGCCCATTCTGTAGTGGAACTAACTGGTCCAATTCACTGCAGCAAAATTGTGAGTAGAAAGCCAGGAGTCTATGCAGGGAGGTTCTTCTGTGCTGCTGTGGAGGCCAGGTTTGACAGTGGGGCTGGAGAGGAGAATCCTTGTTGTATCAGTTACAACTCAGATCCTTCAGCTATTTTCCCCCTATGGGGTGTAACCCAAGTACAGGTTACAGCAGCTCATAGCCTGTAATTTCAGCCACTGCTGACAGGTGAGAGGGTTCCCTGTGTCAAGCACAGTAAGCCCCTGTAGTCAGGAATGATGTAGGAGTTACTCTTTAGTTATAATGGAAGTTGTGTGATCCAGTGGAGAGAAGGCGATAATGCTAAAATATGTTCCATAGTTGAAACATCTAATTCTGATCACCATTTTCCAAGTTCTAAATTCTACCTGGAATTTTAAATAGTAAAAACATGTACATGAAATTAATGTTATTTCTTATTCATTTGCAAAAAGCTTCAACAGTTTAACTTACTTCTTCAGACTTTCAAATTGAACCTCTAACCGAGTCTTTTCTTCTACAGCCTTCTCATGATGATTTTTCCAGACACTGGAAGCTGAAAGTACTTCAGACAATTTGACTTCCTGGAGAATATACAAAATATAGATCATGTAACATAAGAACTGCTTTTTAATTTTGCACAGTTCCTAAACACAAAAGATATTTTAACTTAAAGCAGCCTTAAATCACACCTCACTAGTATAAAATAATGTAAACTTAAGCTTGCAATCTCAAGGAGAGAAATTAAAATAATTTAAATATATTAAATAAGCTTGAACTACAGAATTATGAGTCCCTAGAACTGAATCACAATTAAGCATTCATGTGTTTTCAAGCTGCAAACTACAGCAAGACTTCAAAATTTGAGGTAAAATGATTTCTTAAAATAAATATATTCAACTGTACTAATCTGAGACATAAGAATGACATTTTAAAATAAGAGATCAAAATAAAGGCCAGAATAAAATTGAGTCATAATAGCAAAATGTTGTGAAAAAGAAACAATAGCTAACTAAGAGAGTTTCAAACACAAAAGAAGAAAGATTGGATTTTGTGGTTTATTTAATGGCAGTTAAGTTGAGCTTTTCAAAGCGGTGAAGTGTTAGCCACACGTTTCATTAAAATTAACTGCTTTGAAAACCTTCACCTTAAACCTCACAATAGGAAAATAAAGAGAAAGCGCTATGACAACACAAAAAAACTGAAATTGAAGTTAGACAAATGCCAATTAAATTAATTTAATTAATTAAAATGTCCAGTACAACTGACTGTCATCATGAGAAAACCAAGTTGCATCGTATGGTCTGAAGATAAATTAAGCCCACAAAGAAGAAACAAAGCAAATTTAATTAGATCCTGATACAATACATTTGCCTAGTCGTTCTATGTCTACAATGGTATAACATGCTATGAAATGTTATGATGAAAGTATATTCCCACCTGTTGGAAAGTGCAATGAAAGGAGACCAAGTTTTAAATGTACTCTAATGGGCTAACTGATTCCATTCAGAATTGTAAGCCACCAACTCCAGAAAGATCACTCAAAAAAGTTCTGATTCTCCTGGCCTTCTGAAATTTCTTAACATTGGTGAAAAAAATGTTGAGGCAGCAAGAGGCCCTCAACAAGGTCTGAGGGACAGCTGAATGAGAGGGTTCTAACTTCATTTTCAAAGCTCTATAAAATTCAGAGCATACAGCTTACAAAGAGAAATTTGAGCATCTACAAGACATGCTGCCTGCTGGATCCATTGTAAAAAAAGACAATGGCTGAGTACTAAGACATCAAGATCCCAATCCTGCAATCTGATCTGTGTGAGTGGACACTTGTGCCCATTAACTTCAATGTCTATCCACACAGCTCAAACTGCAGGATCGGGGCCTACCTATGAATGTAAGGGAACAAGCTTCTCAATGATATTTAGGGATTAATGTGCATGACTCCTAGTAGCATTAACTGGCATATACCATACTGAAAGGAGACCAGACCCCCTAGAGCAAAATTACAAAGTGGACAACCACATGGTCCAAGTCATGATGGTCCCTTCTGACCTTAAAGTTCATGCATCTTATCTAGCAATTGCTTTTGGATCACTGATTTTAAATTACCCTTCTCTAAAGTGGAACAAATTAAAATGTACCAGTCCAGAGTATAGTATGCTCAGTTGGTCATTACTGTTCTCCAACGATGAGGCAATCTTAATGTTTGATTGCACTTATTATTTTAAACAATACTTGATTATTTTAAAAAACATTTGATTATATCAACACAGCCACTTACCCTCTTTCTAATTTTGGAAGTTAGTTTTTCAACAGATGCTTCAAAACATTCAGCTCTTTGTTTCTGGCCTCTGGTTGCTTTTTTCAGAGCTTTCTTCTTTTGCTCATTTGTTTCCTTTACAGCTAAAATTTGGTGCTTGTGTTTTCCAATTTGAAGCTTCCACTCAGTTATTTTCTTTTCCAGAGTCTGCAGAATAATTAAGCAAAATGAATATGTTCTGAACATTATGGGGCAGATTTTGAGTCACAGTAACATAACCATGCAGGGGAGAAAGACTTCCACCCCACCTGCATTAGGCTTCCTGCATCCCAAATACATGCACAAGGGTGAGAGCAGAAGCTGTGCACCCAGTATTTCCACCCACTGAGTAGTGAGAAATGGGGATGGAGGGACAGAGGGGGAGGAGGGTGCATAAGTCAGAGGGTAGGGAAGGAGCCAAATGGTGGGGAAAAGCCATGGGGATGGGGGCACAGCAGAATGGGAAGAGGATAGGAATCAGTGAGTAGGTTGTGGGGGGCAGCAGCAGATGGGGACAAGGGCAGACTGGGGTCACAGGGGCAGAAGAGTCTACAACTACTAGAAAATACTCTCCTCCAGAACCTGGAATAGAACCCAAGAGTCCTAAATCGCTACATTCTTCTGTTGTCAGCAAATAGATCTGAAGACCACTGAAAAAGTGTGTGTTTCATCCTCCTCTAGTGGCTGGCCCACACAGAATATAACCACCTACTACTGCTATCAGTTACTACATTAGCTCAAGTGGTACTGGTATGTGCTGTGGATGTAAGGGTCTAAAATCTGCTGATTACCCAACCAGGTGATCAATATGACTCCACATGACAGAAACTGTGTTTTTCCAGTTTGTTTTTGAAAAAATTAGGAAATTACATTTAACCAAATACATTAAAAGGACATTAAGGCTGCATAGTCACACACTCAAAAGTTAGGAAATGCCAACACTGCCATATGTGTATGCATTATAGTACAGTCTTTAATTATATGATCGCTTGCTATTTTTTCAACAGGACCCCTGCCTCATTCAGCATTCAGTGGTCTGGATGCACCTGCTCTGGGGATGAATCAGGGCTGTGTAGCGAATAAGACAATTACACCTCTACCCCGATATAATGTGACCCGATATAACACGAATTCGGATATAACGTGGTAAAGCAGCGCTCCGGGGGGGCGGGGCTGAGCGCTCCGGCGGATCAAAGCAAGTTCAATATAACGCGGTTTCACCTATAACACGGTAAGATTTTTTGGCTCCCGAGGATAGCGTTATATCGGGGTAGAAGTGTATCTACAGCACCCCTGCATCATTTGTTGCGGAAGTTAGAAGTACACAGTGAATGAGGCAGAAGATTGCAAGAAGAGAAAGGATGGTCTCAATGTTGAGTCAGATGAATGTTGCCCTGGAGAACTGGATTCTCTTCCTGCCTTGGCTACAGAGTTCCTATGCAAGGCTGGGCAAGTTACTTGAACTAGATTTTTCATGGGTGTTACTATCATGATATTTATGTTTGTTTCCCTACATAGCATTTTTTATTTAAATAAGGATGCTAAAGGCAAATCACATCAAAGACGTTAAAACGAGGTACAGTGACATTTGGTGAAGAAAGCAATCAGATGTATCCTTAAAGCCTGCTTTAAAGAGGGCCCAAACACAGTTGTCTTTAGGATGGTCATGGATGGCATCAACAAGCTACCAGCATGCAACTGTTTCTTGATGGACAGTCTTAAATCCACATTGATATCATAAACAATTTTTCCACCATGCAATAAAGTAGTAAACATGTCAGCTACATATACCAGTCTATATAAAATACTTTCAGGTCATCTTAAAATAGCTTAAAGGCAGACATGACTAAATGTAACATAAATTAAAAACAGGTATAGTGCCTTCTCATTCATGTCTGGGCCGTGACCCTTCCTAAGGTGTGTTCCAGACACATACATAGCTAGAATGACATGAAATTTACTTGGTAGTCAAAAGGGGAAAAAAGGAACAATGCTACTTCTTGATGTAAGTGTGAAATGAAGCAGTTTATATTTGACTTTGATATTTATAACTGTGACTTGGGAGATAATATCTTCAATGAATGAAGCAAATTTAGGAGAATATAGAAGATTTTTATTTGTCAGTCTGTTGCTTATACACTGGTAAAAGATATTACCTCACCTACCTTGTAGCTTATATTAACAGTTAAAGAAATACATAGGGAATACAATTGTAATTCTTTTATGTCACCACAAGATGTCACTATCACACTATTACTGACAGTCCTGTGTAGCATGCAGCTCCATCCTTTACAAAGACTTAGGTAAATTTAAACTTGGAACTCATTTCATAATGAGCAGAAAACATTCACGCTGTCCGAAGGCTTTGTCAGGGTATCAGCTGACTTCAGTGGGATATGGACACTTAATTACCTTAGACTCCTTTGAAAACCTCAGCCTAGATGGCTGTGTACTCTCACTGAATCTGTATGCAAAGATCAGCTTATTCCTTGAAATATACCATTTAATAAAATGCGCTGGGAGAATTCTAATAATGACACTGTGCAGAAGTACAAAAAACAATATCCTTCAGAACAAAACATGAAATGTGTATACTTAATTTCATGTTCTGGAGTAAAAGTGTTAGAGGAGAAAATAAGTAATCTTCCAAACCTGGAAAAAAAAATCTACCTTACTTTTAATTTCCAAATGTTGACTTCTTAATGGCAAATACCATATATATATTAGGGCTGTCAAGCGATTAAAAAAAATTAATCGTGATTAATCGCCCGATTAAAAAATACCATTTAAATATTTTTGGATGTTTTCTATATTTTCAATTACAACACAGAATACAAAGTGTACAGTGCTCACTTTATATTTATTTTTGATTACAAATACTTGCACTGTAAAAAACAAAAGAAATAGTATTTTTCAATTAACACAAGTATTGTAATGCAATCTCTTTATCATGAAAGTTACAAATGTAGAATTATATACAAAAAATATCTGCATTCAAAAATAAAACAATGTGAAACTTTAGAGCCTACAAGTCCACTCAGTCTAGTTCAACCAATCACTCAGACAAACAAGTTTGGTTACAATTTGCAGGAGATAATGCTGCCAGGAGATAATGCATGTCCTCTGGAATGGTGGCCGAAGCATCAAGCAGTATAAAATGTTTAGCATATCTGGCACATAAATACCTTGCACCACCAGCTACAAAAATGCCATGCGAACGCCTGTTCTCACTTTCAGGTGACATTGTAAATAAGAAGCAGGCAGCATTATCTCCTGTAAACGTGAACAAGCTTGTTTGTCTTAGCGACTGGCTGAACAAGAAGTAGGACTGAGTGAACTTGTAGGCTCTAAAGTTTTAAATTGTTTTGTTTTTGAGTGCAGTTATGTAATCAAAAAAACCCTACATTTGTAAGTTACACTTTCACGATAAAGAGATTGCATTACAGTACTTGTATGAGGTGAACTGAAAAATACTATTTCTTTTGTTTATCATTTTTACAATGCAAATATTTGTAATAAAAATACTATAAAGTGAGCACTGTACACTTTGCATTGTGTTGTAACAGAAATCAATATATTTTAAAATGTAGAAAAACATCCAACAATATTTAATACATTTCAATTGGTATTCTATAGTTTAACAGTGCAATTAATCGCGATTAATTTTTTGAGTTAATCGTGTGAGTTAACTGCGATTAATTGACAGCCCTAATATATACATACACACACACACACACACACACACACACACACACACACACACACACACACACACACACACAATGTTAGCATTTGGCATTGCTCTGAAACCTCCACGGTGATATTGTTTTAAAGTCACTTTCATTCCTATTTTCCAAAGTGTAAAAATACATCATTACAAAGGTTTATATGCACTATTAGAACATCATATCCACCAAGAAACAGGTATAATCACTGTTAGAATTAATTAATTTCTATAATTAACTTATCAATTGAGTTTATCTTTGTAGTTGAGTAAGATTCTAGTAAGTCTAAACACAAAAAACTTGCATATTTGTCTGTATGGTATTTATAAGGAGATCATTAATATCCCAAACATCAGAGTCCTAGGTCAAATCCAAGCCTTATTACTAATCTAGGCAAGTTACTTTTGCAATATCAAATATCATGGCTATCAACTCCTACTGTCCTAGGAGGGCTTTGTGAGTGACCAAAAGACCCAAATTACGCATGCAAAATGATTTCAACTGATTTTTCTGACATGTTCAGCTAATACACATACAATGCTTAGCTTAACTACAAACCTCACCTTTCCTCAGATTATATAAAATCTCTCCTTCCCCTTTAAAATTATATTGCAAACTTGTATTAATTTCCCTAGTTTCTTTAATTGTGCTTAAAAGATTGAATATCTGGTTAGTTACAACTGATTTGGAGCAACCACGAATAATTACTTAGCGATTCAGTTAAAATGAAATGAAAATGATATGCTGCTCTATCCTTCTCCAGTAAGAAATTCTATTTTAAGAATTTTTAATTAACTATACAGATCAACTGGCCAAACCTTCCCCTCTGCATATGATGTGAGATGACAGAGCACCTATGCAAGCTGTCACAGACCATGAATTGTAGAAGTGGCCTCTCCACTGGTGCTCCATTGCCAGTGGGGTAGGATTCCATGCTACTTTGCCCTGGAAAAGAACCCTGCACAAAGCCCATTTACTCGGCTGTTTTGTTTGGGCTCCGTTAGCCATAATTCTGTATGCAGAGAACAATACTATATGTAGTAGACAAAGAAGCTAATTTCAGTTATGTTATCTAGTATGTAGAATACATGAATTGAACTGGTAAAGAACCAGCAGGCATGACAGCCAGGCCTATAGACAGCACAGACCATAAAAAGAGCCAAACAAAATTAGCTCATCTTTAATAAGGGAGAATAAAGTACGGCTAACACAGGGTTTTACTGAATGTCATTGTCATTATTTAGTGTACAAGCAAGAATGAGTTTAAATAAAAAAACAAGCTTGGCGGTTATATTTTCAGCAGTAGCAGTCCTGATTGAAGTTTGGCCCATTGAAAGTGTGTGCAGCAGAGACCATTATCACAATATTGTTCAGTAAGAGTGAACAGCCTTTTTATTATTATTATTCTAAGCTGGAGAAAGTGAACAGAGGCTTATATTCATATAAAGATTTTTCTTTTTTTATTGTGTGTGTGAGATAACAAGCAACTGACCAACAGATTGATGGTAAGGTATAAGGTAAATTCAAGAAGATAAAAGGTAATAGGGATAGTCCACTTTTAAGACAACTCACCTGCTCAATCTTAAATTTCATCTTCCTTGCAAATTTCAAATACTCATAGAGAATCTGTGGCTAGTCTGTCTCCTCCCTTGCAGCCACCTGATCACACCCTTGCAGTCTTTCAACACTGACAACTCCTGTCAACTTTCTCTGTTTGGTAACACTAAATATGCATCCCTTTATTAGGCCTTGATCCTGCAAACATTTCCATACATGTTTACTTTAAACATGTGAATAGTTGCATTCTCTTCAGTGGGACTCCTTATATGCACATGTGTAAGTGTTTGCAGGATAAAGGCGTTACTTTGGATACTTTTTACATCATTCTATGAGTGTCTATAGTGTAAGCTCTGAACATTCGTAAAATTCATTTGTAATTAAGAACATTGTCCAAATGGCTCTCAGGAAATATCTATTTCCATTATTTTTACTGGTTTGGGGTTTTCTATTCTAATTTGTCTATACCAGGGATTTAATTTAATAATAGCAAGTGACATTTTAAGATTTGACTGACAACTTCTAATTAAAAATGGCCCTCTGGCCCTAATATACTTTTATTAATTTACCAATGAACTAAAAGTAAACCCAAAGGAAAAATATTTGTAACCTGTATTTTTGCTTTCAACTGATCATTCTCAGCCTCCTTTTTTTGAATCTGGCATTGCAGATGGGCTTGTACAGCTTCTACTGACTTTGATAGGTGATCTGCTTTTAGTGCATTTGCCTATGCAAAAGATATGAACACAAATCTTTTAATTTATACAGATATGCCATAAGAAGATTTCTCTATTTTTTTGGTATAATTGATTTCTAACGTATGGTAGTATACACATTCTGTGAGTCATGCACAGACACAATGTAATTATGAAATAGATTGTAAACCCAGACTCAAGCATAATGCCCTCAACCGAAGCACTGTCAAGAGCTGTTTTAACCCTTTTATTGAGTATAGTCAGTGCTTTTCCTCCCACACTCACTTTGCATGGAACCACCTCCCTTGTCTGGTACAGAGCGTAAAAGGAACCTTTATCTACACATTTTGGTGAGGTTAGCACTGTCTAGAGCACTAGCCTTCAGCGGGTGATGAACTCAAAGAGCACAAGCAGAGTGACTGTGAACAGCCCCTGTACAGAGGCAAAATGGAGGGGGACTTTTGCACTCTCTTCTCTATAGGACTGCCAACTTTCTAATAGCAGAAAACTGAACACTCTTATATAATAATATATGGAGATATACCTATCTCATAGAACTGGAAGTGACCCTGAAAGGTCATTGAGTCCAGCCCCCTGCTTTCACTAGCAGGACTAAGTACTGATTTTGCCCCAAAACCCTAAGTGGCTCCCTCAAGGATTGAACTCACAACCCTAGGTTTAGCAAGCCAATGCTCAAACCACTGAGCTATCCCTCTCCCACCCTTACCCCAAGGCCCCACCCCTTCTCACTCCATCCCCCCCTCCGTCCGTCGGTTGCTCACTCTCCCCCACCCTCACTCACTCGCACACTTTCACCGGGCTGGGGCATGGGGTTGGGATGAGGGCTCTGGCTGGTGGTGTGGGCTCTGAGGTGGGGCCAGAAATGGGGGGCTCAGGGTGCAGGAGGAGGCTCCAGCTGGGGGTGCGGGCTCTGGGGTGGGGTTGGGGATGAGGGATTTGGGGTGCAGGAGGGGGCTCCAGGCTGCGGGGGTAGGGCCGAGGGGTTTGGATTGTGGGAGGGGGCTCCGGGCTGGGGCAAGAGGGTGGGGTGCGGGAGGGGAAGCAGGGTGTAGTCTCTGGGACGGAGTTTGGGTGTGGGAGGGGGCTCAGAGCTGGGGCACAGGGTTGGGGTGCGGGAGGAGGTGAGGGGTGTGGGCTCCCGGCGGCGCTTACCCCAGGCGGCTTCTGGAAGCAGTGACATGTCCCTCTGGCTCCTAGGCGGAGGCGTGGCCAGGGAGCTCTGCGTGCTGCCCCCGCCTGCAGGCACCACCCCCACAGCCCCATTGGCTGCAATTCCCGGCCAATGGAAACTACGGAGCTGGTGCTCAGGGCGGGGGCAGCACGCGGAGTCCCTGTGGCTGCCCCTATGCCTAGAAGCCAGAGGCACATGTCGCTGCTTCCTTGGAGCGGTGCAGAGTCGGGTAGGGAGCCTGCCAGCCCCGCACCAACTGGACTTTTAATGGCCCGTCAGCAGTGCTGACCAGAGCTGTCAGGGTCCCTTTTCGACCAGGAGTTCCGGTCAAAAACCAGACACTTGGCAACCCTACCTCTCTACCTTATGCATTTGTGCAACATTAGCCTAAACCTAATCTTAAATGAGAAATGACAGTCAGGTCCAAACCAACCTCCCCCTTCGGAGCCATCCCTCACACTGACCATTGGAGGGGCTGGGGTGAGGATGGTTCACAATCCAAAAAAAACATCTGGAGTCAAACTTCCTGGTATGGGTCCACCTCTGTGAGAAACACTGGCCCACAGGAATAGCTTTTCATATAATGTTTGAAATTAAATATTACCCTTCTCACAATTAGAAAAATTAGGAGTTTTGGAGGTAAGAATTTAGCACACGGAGATAAAACATCCATTCTGAGGAGGAAACTGACTTACTTTTTCCTGTTGAAGCTGAGAAGAAAGCTCTACAATATGCTTCTCTGTTTCAAGTGTTTCTTTTCTGAGACCCTTCATGAAGGAAAATTAACACAAAATGAAAAGGTCTCAATATGCACATTTTGGGCTACATTATCATAACAGTGCACCCAAATTGCACATGTAAAAGGGATACTTTATTAGCGGAATTGAGCTCTCATTTCCAGTGGCACAAACATTTCAAGATGATGCTTAAAAGCAAACAAATTGTACACCTAAATATAAGAACAAAAGTGTCTCAAAGCAGGGCCATGAATTTAAGTGTACAGATGCACAGTCAACATAATTGGGTACCTAAATATAGCTGATGTACAATGTTGGCTTGTATTATAGGGATTTGTTCTGGGACACTCTTTTTGTCAATTTCCTGCAAATCAAATTACTGAAGGATACACATACACTTCATTTACTTATCAAATTGTTTTGAAAATTCTGCTTTTTCAAAATTATGTTTGAAGAGGCCACAAGGGAGCAAGGAGACAGAGCAGACAATAAGGGAAAAGCCAGAAAAAGGAATTAAACAAGAATGGGGTGCTACTCTGGTGAGTAAAAAAACAAAAACCAATCTAAACACAGAGCCAGTAAATATTTGTGAACAAAGTAAAAGTAATGTTACTTCTGAGAGATGAGCTCCTAATTGTAAAGGTTATTTGGTCTTCACCGGAAATTAAGCTTAAGGATTTGATCTCTGTTGAAGGAAAATGTGTTGCCTGAATGGTTTTCAGACATAACAGCCATATTCTGCCCCTCTCCCAGACTGGTAGTGTTCCATAAGCAGCCCTTGTACTGACACTTATAGTTCAGGTTGCCTTAACTACTGAGTATCAGACTTCCTGGGTTGTGAAAAAAAATATAAATAAATAGCTCTTTTAAATCTGATAGCATTCCAATTCCAAGGTAGTCAATTTCTGCTCAGATTAGGAATAAAGTGATTTGGGTTATATTTTTTGGCCTTGGACAGTCATTAACACCACCTTGGGCCTCAATTTACCCCATTTATAAAATGAGGATAATAATACATGCTACCTGAGATATTTAGCACTGTATTACGCTTTTCAGCTAAGCATCTTGTTATTCCTTCTCAGTACTGGGGTAAATTGAACTTCAACTTCCAATTACTTTGTTTTAAAATTATTAAAAAAAAAAAGATACTGGCGGAATTTTACATTTCTTTGTAATACTGAAGTTGCACCAATAGTTAAAACTTCTCTTATCATTGCTTTCATGGAGTTAACTGTCTGGATTCACCTTTCTGAAGATTTAGGTACTTGGATACCATATTGCCCTTTATTTTCTCATTTGTGGCAAATGGCATATTTGGGGGAATGATTTGGAGGGTTTACAAACGTTTAGTTCCATCTGCTTTCTCAAGACTGTGTAGCCTGATTACGATAGCTACCATCTGGGCAGGAATGTGACCTCATGATGGAATGGAAACATTACATAAACTATAACAAAAATGGTAATTTTGGGGGGCAACGAATTCACAGCTTTTCCCTCCCTTACACTGCCTATCGGTTTATGTCAGAATAAAAAGGCAATGCACTTGAATAAGCATAACATTGAAGCAAAAGTAACATCTGGTCTTAGAGAAACAAAGCTAGACATTCTTCTCAGTTACACCAGTGTAAATAAGTAGCATTTCCATTAAAGTTACTCTGGAATTACACTGGTGAACAACATCAGAAACTGGCCCATGCTGTATATAGGATAATATACAGCACATTAAACTCTGTGTAATAAGCGTGACACCATACTCCTGAAAAATATCACTAGTCAAATGGGTAAGGAAGAAACAAAATGATGGAAATTGGGTGGAAGCCAGGCAAGTATATCAATATACACATACATGTGAGCGCAAGACAGAAAGACCAAGCAGTCTTCCTGATCCTAGGTCTAGCAGTTGCCTAGTGGAATTGTATGAGACTGGGATTTCACTGTTTTGTCATGCCGTGATAGAGTAAGGAGCCAGAAAGTGTAATTTACTTACATCATTTTCAGTTTCACTTTCAGTTAACTTCTGCATCAAAATGTCAATTTGTTTACTGCTTATCTGCATGTTCAAAATAGAAAAAACAACCAATATTTTAAAATTAATTATTTTACAGTATATGGAACTTGCGGATTCAGTGTACTCAGAATGGAGACTGATACATATGAAATACCAACAGCAAGGAGATATTTACTTTGACATGCATGATTATATACAATTGGTGGGAAATATCTTAAGAGATTCTGTTCATTCTATGTGCGGAGCTTATGAATAGGGGAAAATAAACCAAGGTTAATTCTATATGTAACACTGATTATTTTTTAAATGGAAGCACTTACATGCCATGCTTATTTAATTTTCCTTGTTCAAATAGTAGCCTAAAGGTCAAGTGTGTATTCCATTCATCTATTTTAAAGACAAAGTAAAGCATTTCCTTAAGTGTTTCTGAAAATATTGTTTGATGGCAGCTAGGATTATCTCCAGACCCCAAAATCTTATATCCCACAATATTAACTTCTATCACAAATATAAATAAACTTGGAATGGCAAAACCATTTATATAGCCATAACTATCACACAACCATCAATTACATAATTTGGCAGTCAAAGTTGTCCTTATTTTATCAATTAGTTTTTTTACACTAATTGATGGAACTTCCAGTTAAGTAAATCCCAAACTTTTTAACTTCAGAGAATGGGCCCACTGACTTCCAAGGAAGTTTAGATAACTCAGCATGTTATAGGACCAGGCCCAATATGAATATTGAATTATAGGAAGGAGATAGCCAGCAAGTTGGGTGTCAAACTACAGATGGATCGGAAAGCAGGGAAAAGTAGCAAGGGGAAAAGCAAATGAGAGCTGCATTCTCTGCACTGGTATTTGCAGAGTGCACTCTGCTGGATTTTAGAAGCATGATGTACTCTGGCTCATCAGTGAGAGGGAAGCCTTACAGATCATTCTGAACAGAGCCAGAGCACACGTGTACAATGTTCACTTTAGGAATTCACTGCTTATGTATGTTTGGTTTTGTTTGAATACAAACACCTGTGAATTGCAGGTATTCAAACACAAAGAGATAATCACACCACTATTGTAATATAATGCTCTCTATATTTCTTCACTTTTCTTCTCTCTCTGCCTCCTTATTATTTATCAATTGCCATTCTCTATTTGTTTGTCTTTTCCTTTTTAAACTTCCTCTCCCTCCTTGATTATTCTATATATACAGGCTCCAGAATAAAGAAGAAACACGTCTTCTCTCATCTGCTTTTTATTAAAAATTTAATATATCTTTTTGAAGTCAAGCAATTCCTATTCTGTCTTATTCAGCAAATATGATTATGCTTAAAGACTAACATATACATGAAAGGAAAGTATCTGTGATATTTACAATACTATACAAGCATAGCATAACATAGATTTCTCAAAATAGGTTAAACTTCCCACACAACCTGGGGTTGATTTGGACAATAAAGAATATTTGAAATACTATAATTTTGCATTTTCTGTGACTGGCTATTGCTTTCTTTTTTTGAAAACACTACTGAAAAAGATCAGGAAAAAAAAATGTGTTCGTGCTCACTGTTAAACCACCCCAAGATTGCTTTGGGTCATCTTACTTCTTTATGCTCTGTTGTTCTAAGTAGGTGTAGTAATAATCCTTTTATGTGTTTGAGAGTCTCCAGTTCCTTTATCAGTAAATCCTCTTGTTTAGAAATCTTAATCATATCTGATGTAGAAAGGTTACACACCTGATAAAATATTAAGCCACAAACAAATATACTGTAAGTGTACTACAATATTTCCCCAAAACAGCATGATTACCATTATTAAAACTTAGCTTTAAAATATTGAAACCATAAAACTATTTTTCAAAGTACACTGCAAAATATGATAATGAATATGCAAAAATACTGTTTAGATTAGGATTTAAACATTTTGGTATGAAATACTACATAATTCAATATTCACTCTTCAAAGTTTGTAACAGAGAGATCAGGCATATGCTCTTTCTATTTTAACTTTTTTGCTGATAAAAGGCCCAATTTTCCTCTCTCAAGGGAAAATCCATTTAAATCAAACTAATTTTGCTGCTCCAAAAATAACAAAGGACAATCAGGTAGCAGACCTTTTAGTAAGTACTATCACAGAAGTTATTTCATCCTGATTTGCACATATGTATTCATGATACTTCTACCTGTAGCTGGAGAGAAATTGAAGTACTATTGGAAATGTTAACTCTGTTGTACAGAAAAGTGTGAATTCCCAATGGCAATTCTTAAATAAATTAGCCATGAGGGAATGCAAAATATCAAGATATCTTGACTCCTAGAATAGTATTTGTTTTGTTTTATAAACTTAAATAGTAATAATGTATTTGTACTCAACAGGTTACAGACATCAAAAACTTCATTTGAAAATTTTTTTAAAATCATAGTAAAAAAATATATCTACTGTACAATATTGTGTATAAACAGGGTTACAATTGGGGAAGAAGATGCAAATGTACTCAAGTTCTGCTCACAAACCCAGAATAGACAGGTAGCTATATGTTTCTGCTAAAATGATCAGCAGTGAAATAGCTCAGAATGTTGACTTTTAAACTGACAACATTAGGGTTCAGAATTAACATTCATGTGAGATGAAAACAAACATTTGGACCCCTCAAAGCTCTTATTTAAAGATGTATGTCTGCACTCAGATATCACATCAGTCAACATTTAGAGTGCTTTTCTAATCAACCATATGAGTTAGACATTTAAGGTTTTTTACAATAAATGTTTAATTCTGCAGAAATGAGTGGAGCAAAAAAAAAAAAAGACTGTACAGCATATCCCAGAACACTAACCCAGTTACAGTTCTGAGAGTAAATATGCACACAATTTTTATATAGTATTAAAATACAGCAAAATACAGAAACTTACATTTGTCATTCCAGCAATAGTGACTTTAAATGAAGGCAAAAACATTTCTGTTGAACTGATTGCCATCTCTGCTTCAAGAATCTTTTCCTGTAATGTGGCAATTTCATCTTCTTTCAACCTATTCACAAGAAGAACTTAATAGAAATCAAATTGCACTAACTATACATGTTTAATATATATAAATATAAATAAACTTTTCCATTTCACAAATATTTATTAACCAAAGGCAGAATTTTCTCAAGTTTTCTCTGAGTAAGAACCTCAGAATTTGGCCTATAGTGTTCCCTTAATATGCAGGCTACAACTCCTTTCCTTTCCTTTGCCTATCATAAATTATTTACACTGAACACTTATGGGAACACTTTCTTGCTGCTGCATTCTATGTCCTCTAAAGCCAGCAGAAGTAGGAACTTTGGGATTTACCCTATTAAAAAAAAAAAAAAGGTTTAAAGGAAAGTTTATTTTAAGTGTTACCAATAACTCCTTAGATGACTGTATCATGAACTTCTAAAAATCAAATGTACTTTTCACTAATTAAGCTGTTTACTTTTTGGATTTCACTCAGCCAGGGGAATGAAAATAAGACTAAACAATCTCACTTGCAGGGTCTCATGAACTAGAACAATATGCAGCAGTGTTTGGGTTGCAAACACAGGCAGGGTGGGATTTTCAAAAAGTTCCCTATTATAGGGTGAAATTAATCTCTGTTCAGAGGACCTACATAAGCCCCTATGTTGTCAAAACACAAAGCCTTAAATGAATCCTCTGCCCAGGCATGAATTGCACCCACAGAGATAAATATTTATGTTTTGAACATATTGTGTGGATTTGAACAGCTAAAGAAGCACAAATAAATGCTGTAAGAACAGATGAAAGACTGTTGGTCTCATGAAATTCTGTAATTGTATTTTTCCCAGTCTGAAGCATACCATCTCATTTCACTTTCACTCAGGTTTTGTTCTAGGAAGTTTTCCTGTGATCTGCTTTTGAGCTGTGGTGACAGTTCTTTCAGCTTGGTCTGATGTTTATCCATAACTTTGGTAAATGAACTCCAATTCTGCTTCAAGGGTTCCTCCTCCATGCATGCTGAAAACTTACAAACATTTTATTTTATTTCAGTTTTTATCTTCTCCCCAACTATTTCAAGACATATTTTCTACCTATAACAATAAAAGCTTAATCAAAAGATTATCTATCACCAGATAACAAACCAGAATATGGGGCCAGAATTATTTTAGAAGGTTATTTCAAATGTCCATCATCCCTTTTATTATGGAAAATAGAATGGAATTAAAAGATGGTACCAATTTTCTCCCCAATAACCTATTTCTCTACATACTTTTCTCCTACTTTCTTTAGTCTTTATGTAAGAAGTCTTGTCCAATGCTGTAAAACAGCTAACAGTGGATGTTATACCCTGAAGATCAAGCATATTACCATCACAGTGAGAAAAATGGAAGTCCAGAATCCAGATTATTTACTTGTACAAATGGGCAGAAAGAAGGATGTTTCTGATGATAGTTATCATAGCAACAAATTTAGCATTAAGGCCACATAGTTTAATTATTAGCTTCTTCAAAATATATAGAAAACAATCCAGCTGGGATTTCTAAAGGAGCCAAAGAAAGTTAGGCGACCAAATCCTATTTCATTTCAAAAGGGAACAGTGTGCTTAACTCCCTGATGATCCTTTGAAAGTCCCACCCTACAGGAATTTGCAGCTAGTCAGGAATTAAGTAGAATTTTCTTTATGCTTTCGCACACATCATTCTATGAATTCCTTCCAATTTAGCAGGAACTTATTTAATGCAAGGGAGTTAAGAACAAATGTGCAAATATCTCTAATGCCAACAGGAGTGCAAGAAAGGCTTAAGAGTGTCAGCCTCATACTGATACTATTTTTAGGTCTTCCACTATTCCCTACTTGGTCTGCTTCTTCACTTAGACCAGTAAAATATTTTCCATGTTGGTTGACTTTTCTGATTCTAAAAATATCTTCACAGGACTGAATCAATGAACAGAGTTTTGCTGCTTCTCCAGGTGTAATAGGTAGTGCATGTCTTGTTCCCTACAACAACAATATTGAGAATTATGTAACAATTGGTACTACTCATTGCTAGGCTTGCTATCCTTACCTGCCACCTGAGCCTAAGAGACATCTCAAGATAAAACAACTTATGTTCTTTATTAAGTAGAAATACTCCTGAAAAATTTTCAGGACGAACTAAATTATCATTTTCATCTGTTATTTCCATCATTACTAAAGGCCCTACCCTGTGACGTAATAGGAGGTGAGAATTGAGAAAACTGAGAATTTAGCATCAGACTCTTAGTAACTAGACAATAACATCACACTTATTTACATCTCGTCATAATGTGAAATTTTACATCTAACTTCTATTTTTCCCATTTTTATTTCTTTGTTTTTCCACAGGTTTACATTTCAAAGGGGATTTCAATCTGAATGACATATGCTGGAAGTCTTTATACTGTTAGAACGAAAACGTTCCCTGAATTTCTAAAAGTTATAGAGGACAATTTTTTAATTCCAAAAGTGTTACACCCAGCACAGGGGAATCCTATAAAAGACCTCATCTTGACAGGAGGAATTGATTGCAGAACTAAAAATTAGCATTTCCATAGATGCAAGTGATTGTGACTTGATTACATTTGTTGCATACAAAGACAATGAAGTCCAAGCCAGTCATAGTGATTTAAAAGGGCCAATTATACAAAGCTGAAAACAATTATGAGCCAAATCAGTCTCATAATCAGAGAAGGAATTTACACAGGAAAATATGAAGGATAATTGGTAGTTGTTTAAAAACATTTTACTAGATGCCAAAAAAGGTACAATCCCACAAATGAGAAGGCTATACTGCTTAAAAAACAACCTGGTTTAGAGGGGAGGTGATATACATAATGTATTTATATAAAAAATGAGGTGCAGTGGCTAAGTGGTTAATGCACTTGACAACAATCCCGGCGGTTGTGGGTTGGAGTCTTGATTGATCTTACACTGAAAAGCTGTCTCCAGTTCACCTCCATAGGGTTAGAGAAGTCAAAGGTGTAGCGGGGCATTCAACCCGCTCTGGCTCAGAAGTGGTTAAAAGCCAGACGTTGGGGAGAGCTGGGGCTGAGAGCCAATCAGAGAAGGCTGGGAGGCAGCCAATCAGGGCCAGGCTGTACCCTATAAAAGGGCTGCAGGGCCAGAAGGCTGTCAGTCTCTCTCCAGCCTTGAAGAGGCAAAGACTGGCTGCCTGCAAGCAGAAGGGGGTACCTGGACAGAGCAGTGCTAGGAAGAGCAGGAGCCGAGGAGCTCCAGCCTGGCAAACTCCCAGACTTAGGCTTTACTTCCAAGGCCTGAGAAAGTACTGGGGCTGTGGGGAGCAGCCAAAGAAGGAAGAGGCAACCGGTCCAACCCCCTTGCCGATGATGAGTGGCCACTTCAAACTGCAGTTTGCCCCTGAGGGAAGGGGCTAGATGAGGACTGGCAGTGGGTCACTGAGATGAAGTGGGCTTAAGGGATTGGGGTTCCCTGGGGAGGGGAGGACCCTGAGTGTGGGGGCCACTGCGGCGGGGCAGAACCCAGGAAAAGGGGCACCGCAGGCTGGGAGGGATGTAGGGCCTGAAGTATAGTGGTGGAGATTGAGAATAAAAAGACAAGTAGCGACAGCAGGAGAGACACCGGCCAGCAGGAGGTGCTCCGAGGCTGGATGAGTTAATTCCCGGACTGACCAGCAGGAGGCGCTGTGGTGGTGAGTGCATGCCATGCTACAAAAGGCAGTTGAGCATGATGCTAGCTACATTACTCCCTTGTATAGCATTGGCTATGGAAAATGACACACCTTAAAGACATTACTGCTAAAGTTTGCGGATGACATAAAGATTTGGGGAGTGTTTAAAAAATGAAGAGTTCACGTCATTGATATAGAACGATCTGGATTACTTGATAAACTGGGAAACAATATACATTTCAATGCAGCCAAATGTAAAGTCATACATCTAGGAACAAAGAATGCAGGGTATACTTAAAGGCCGGGAGACTCTTGGGGGGGGGGGGTCTCCCAGTGTGGCAGTGTACCCCAAAAGGATAATGAGAACTCCGGATGTAAAAACCGGAATATCAAGTAGGAGAACAGAGAGGTTATTTTACCTCTGTATATGGCACTGATGCGACTGACCGCTACTGAAATATTGAGTCCAGTTCTGGTGTCCACAATTCAAGAAGGAGGTTGGTAAAATGGAGATGATTCAGAGAAGAACCACAAGAATGATTAAAGGGCTGGAAAATGTGCCTTTTAGTGAAAGACATAAAGAGCTATTTAGTTTATCAAAGAGAAGATTAAGAAGAAACTTAATAGGTCTGTTAAGAAATTTCTGTTCCCCATGTAAGTAAATATTAGAAGGCTTCCCAATCTATCAGATGAAAGTATAACAAAATCCAATGGCTGGAAGTTGAAACTAGACAAATTTAGACTAGAAATAAGCTGCAAATTATTATCAGTGAGAGTAATTAACCATTGGAACAACACATCAAAGGCTGTGGCAACTTCTCCATCACTGTTACTATTTTAATCCGGACAGGATGTTTTTCTAAAAGATCGTATACTCAATGAATTTAAAACAGTTCCAGTCTGAAGTTTTAATTAATAATAATTGTAAACTGATTGCTTCTTTGACTGATGATGCAAGTTATAAAGGGTGCTTAGTTGCAGGAGGAGTAGATTTTTTTTTTTCTAGAGTGATATAAATATGTACAGCAAAACAGTAACAAAATTAAAATTCATAAGCATTTAATGAAACCATCTAACCAAATACTCATTTAAGTTGCCCCAGTTCCAGTCGTAAGAGTGAATTAAGTCTCCATTGGTTCTAACAAGTAAATTTGCAAGAATTTAATTTGATGTAAACTTAAGTAAGTTCTATAAAATATATTGATACCGAGGCTTAATACATTACATTCCATGTGTGTTGAATGCAAATAATTTTCATATGTTCTCAAGTTAATATTGCTATGAAAATATTTTGCTATATTTACACATTGCACAACTAAGCACAAAAATCTAAGACTGAGATTAGTCAAATTCCTTCAATGCAGCATTTTGGGAGGGTTAGCATAGCATTTAATTTATCCTAATTCATCCAGAGCCAGAGAAGCACAAACTAGAATTTATCCATTTTTTCAGTATGTAATTTTTAGAGGTAGCCTTTAATTAGGATATGGGATCCCTCCTACCTTGTGTCAAACTTGCATAAATCTTCTTTTAAGAACTTAGCTTCCCTTAGTAAACGTGTAGCATATTCATACACTCTCATAAACAAACGCAGAAGTCTTCCACATAATATCCTCTATTCTAATCCCATTTTTCTCTTCTTCCCCTCTGAATTTATTTCCCAGTGGCTTGAGATGTGACCAAGCAGCTTCCAACGAACACTTGTCTAAGGGCAAGTCTACACTAGCGCTTGAGTCGATCTAAGATACGTCGCTCAGGAATATGAAAAAGCAGCCTCTGAGAGACACAAGTTTTGCGCTGTTCACACTGGCGCTATGTCGGTGGGAGACACTTTCCCACCAACATAGCTTCCGCTTCTTGCGGAGGTGGAGTAATTATGCTCACTCCCGCCAGCATAGTGTCTCTTCACCAGGTGTGCTACAGCGGTGCAGCTGCGCTGATGTAGTGCTGTAATGTAGACTTGCCCTTACTCACTTAATGAATTATCCTACATATGTCCTTCATTAGCATTGCACTCCATTCCTAAACAGCAAGAGTAGACTCTTCAAAAGTGCCTAGGGGATTAGATACATGGCTCCCATTGATTTTTCAAGGGGAATTGAGTACAAAACTCCCTCAAACCCCAAATGCATCCCTTCTTTCTACTGCCTACAGATAGGAAGCAAAATTTAAAGTTTGATTTAAAGCCAGGCTCTAGTCCAGAGGTGGGCAAACTACAGCCCGCGGGACCGTCCTGCCCAGCCCCTGAGCTCCCAGCGGGGAAAGCTAGCTCCCGGCCCCTCCCACGCAGCCTCACCTCGCCGCGTGCTCTGGCCTGCCGCTCCTGCTGGGCAGCGCGGGTGGTGTGGCTGGCTGCGAGCTTCTGCTGCTCTGAGCAGCATGGTAAGGGGGCAGGGAGCTGGTTAGGGGCAGGGGGTCCCCAGGGGCAGTCAGGGGACAGGGGGCGGTTGGATGGGGCGGAGATTGTGGGGGGGGGGAGTCAGGGGATGGGGGGGTTGAATAGGGGGTGGGGTCCTGGGGGATGGTTGGGGTGGGGGTCCCAGGAGGGGGTGGTTGGGGACAAGGAGCAGAGGAGGTTGGATGGGTTGGGGATCCTCGGGGGCGAGAAGTGGGAGGGGGCGGATAGGGGGCAGGGGCCAGGCTGTTTGGGGAGGCACAGGCTTCCCTACTCGGCCCTCCATACAGTTTCGCAACGCCGATGTGGCCATTGGGCCAAAAAGTTTGCCTACCCCTGATCTAATCAGTAACAAAGTGCATAGATTACTCTTCTTTGCAGGAAATGCTCATACAACAGTAACACATTAGCAGAGCCGTTCCTTGGGTAGAGCGAATCAGGGCGACTGCTCCGGGCCCCGCGCTTTGGGGGGGGCCCATGGGCCGCTGTGATTGGTCCGTGTGGTCAGTCCCGGAAGAGATGAATCGGTCACTTCCGCCCAGGCCCCGCAGCCCCCTAGTGATGGCCCTGAACATTAGTATGAATTGACTTACCTCAGCAACATCAAGAGAAGACAACTTTTGTTGAACATGCAACTCTGATGGAATATCGTTATCCTGTCTGTGCACAGATGACAACATTCTGTCTAATTCTGCAAAAAGATTAAAAGTTGAGATAAAAGCATCTATCTACATTGCCATCACTGTAACAAAAATAATAGAAAAGCAAGCTGGTAAAGGAAGGCACATTAGTTAAAGGATCACTGGTACCTCAGTTCAGTCAAATATAAAATCCAACAAAAAGCAGGATGAACACAACCTAGACCCACAACAAGAATGAGGTTTCCAAATGACCCTGAGTGAAATTACTGGTCAGAGTCAATACTTAGTAAACATGGGTTGCAAGGATATTTATTTAGCACTTATTGTTTACTTGGCCCCGACCACTCACACATTCATTGCACAAAAGTTAAATAACCCCCCAAAACGGAGGGCTACTGACTGTAACTGACATAAAAGGCAGGGAGGGAGGGAGGCCCGCCAGGGCAAAGCCTGGCCGCAAGATCCCCCACCCTGAGTGGGAGGGGACGGGAAAGGGGCAGGCACTACACCGGCGCTACAGGTCACCCCCAAGCAGCTTCCCTTGCCCGGGCAGTGCCCAGGCACCTTCCCCCAGCGCTGCCCCGCCGGTACCGGCCACGACCCTGAGCCGCCAAGCAGAGCCGCGGGCCTTGCCACGCCCCGCCCAGCCCAGCACTCCCCCGCCGGATTCCCCCGGAGACGTTACCAGCCTCCCTCCAGGGCCGTCCCGCTCCTTCTCCCCGCACTCCCCGGCGGGAAGAGGAGCCGCAGCCGCTTCCTTGGCAACCTGAAGCCGCCTGCCGCTTCCGCAGCGCGGCTCCCTTCCCTCGCCCGGCACTCAGGGGCGGAGCCCGCTGCCATGGGGGGCCGAGTGGTGCCGGGCGGCCGGTCACAGCTCCGCCCGCGGGGAGCCGCTCGGCCGGGCCTGGATGCTGCTGGTGACCGGGAGAGCAGCGCCTTGGCCCCGCGGAGCCTGGTCCCGAGCGCCCCGGCAGAGCCCGGCTTCGTCCTCCCCGAGTCCCCGTCACCCGCCGGGAGCAGGGCCCGTCACACACAGCTGCAGGCTAGGCCCCCCC